TAATAAGCACTTAAAATTGCGATTAACAATTTAATTGGTGCTGGCGGGGATCGAACCCGGGTCGCGTACTGTGAAATTTACAGCTAGCGCTAACCATCTGAGTTACCACGGCTTAATCATATACATACACAATATTTAAATAAAATAATACACACACATGAAAATAACAGAAAAAAAGTAATTTAGTCAATAGAATAAACACTTACATCCATAGCCTTTGGTGTATTGAAGTAACACAAATGTACTATTGATAGATCCACTGTAGTCAAACGACCGTACACTAACTCGATGACTGCGTCTGTTGGTCTTATATACCACCAGTACGTAAAAATTCTAATCTAAAGTATTTCCGTAATGAGTTGATAATTACTTTATGCGTCAACCAGTTTATCTCACATTTCCGTTGTCTATCTCAACATTTCTTCGTATTGTGTTTTGTTTGGTGATCAATGACTCAAGTACGATTTGTATAACACAAAAATGCAATTTAATATTTAGAAACATATCAGTTTATCTCACATTTCCATTGCCTATCTCAACATTTCTTCGTATTGTGTTTTGTTTGGTGATCAATGACTCAAGTACGATTTGTATAACACAAAAATGCAATTTAATATTTAGAAATCACTATAATTGACCATTCCTATGTTATTCATTGAGTAGATTGGTACTGTAATAATCTACTAATAGCAGTAATATCATGGATACACTAGATGTACAACAACATCTGAAAAAGATTCACCCCCAGTCTAGAAAATAATGTTTATGCAGCTAATAGACTGCCTATGTATACCCACGTACCAACGTATATAATATGTAATTTGGATACAGATGATAAACCAGGGTCACATTGGGTAGCTTTATATATCGATACGAATGACGTCGGTCAATATTTTGATTCATATGGACGATCACCTGTACGATATCATCTAGAGTTTTTAAAAAGGAATTGTAAAAGATGGAACTGGAATGTTGATAGGATTCAGAATGAGTGGACTTCAGTTTGTGGCGAATATTGCTTAATGTATTTGCTATATAAGTTTCAGGGATGTTCAATACATAGTTTTACGAGTATATTTACAAGGAACACACTGTACAACGATATTTTAGTGGATGAGATGTTTCGCTCCTATTTTATAGATAATAAGTAATAAGATTTTGTATTTTATAAATAAAAATTGTAACAAAATTATGTAATGTGTTTTATTGATGATTCAGATTAGCGTTGTATAATTAGGAACAAAGAAGTATAATACAATAGCACTGATATAGTCGACGCACACGCTGCAATGAAGGTGATTAATGAACAATAGAACAATAGAAATAGGAACAATGGGACGCTAATGACGGTGGAGGCCCTTACCGGATATCAATTAGATATTAGCTAATTGATCTACACATCTCCGGAACCGTGCATTCTACACAAAAATGGACCGCGGATTCGTGATCAGAGCATGCCAAAATTTTTTTTTTTTTAGGATCGGGTGTCGACGAACGTCGTTGAACCACGTCTGACTCAGGTGGTCTAGAAGTGGTACAACTACACTACTAGTGTATGTCGAAGCAATAAGCGTTTTCTTCATATGTTGTATATTAGAATATACTGTGTTGTTTATACTGTTATGTGCAGTTGGAAGCGTAGATAATACAAATTATATACAGAGAGTTGAAAGTAAAAGACAACTTGATTAACATCTATACTGAAAGCTTTTACAACAATTTACTTCGCAAATATCCGCGTTATAAAATAAAATGATGTGTCTTACCTAGTATGAAGAAGCACCTCCCGCCCTCCCTCAATTGCGTGCACTATCCCCGTCACCACTAATCCCAGCACCGCTACTCCCAACACGGTGCTGGGATTAGTGGTGACGGGGATAGTACACGCAATTGAGGGAGGGCGGGAGGTGCTTCTTCATACTAGGTAAGACACATCATTTTATTTTATAACGCGGATATTTGCGAAGTAAATTGTTGTAAAAGCTTTTATATAATGGATTTCCGCAAAGTAACGCCTGATTCTATTAATTATATCTATACTGAATTTAAAAATTTAATGAATTACGGTCTAGTATATATAAATGTTTATTTCCGAGAATAATGATCAGTCTTAAACATCTTGTGACAGCAACACGTATAATTGACTGACCTTCCCCTTTATAACATAGCGACCATGCCAGGATACCTGTCTTACAAAAACAAGCAAGAAATATTGAAGTCACAATATTTACTGGTGATTACTTAATTATAATGATTTCGAAGTTTTAAGAGCCGCGTAAATTCATTTTGGCGTTTCCTAAAAGTCAACTCTAAGCGTAACAAAATATTGTGTACACTGAAATTATATTTGTTTTACAGAAGAGGGCCATAAGAGCAATTTATGATTTAAAGCCTAAAGAGTCGCTGCGACCAAAATTTAAGGAAATTAATATATTAACTTTGGCATCTCAATACATTTATGAAAATGTAATGTACGTACACAAAAATAAAAGTAGTTTTACAAAAATAAGTGATATTCATTCTGTAAATACCAGGAACAGACACAAGCTAGTAGTACCAGTTACTCGACTCCATCGAGTCAGTAATTCATTCTTGGGGCGATGTATACGCTTTTACAACAAAATTCCAGAAAATATACAAAATTTGACCTGCTCAAAGTTCAAAAACTTTATTAAACTTAGTTTGTATAAAAAGGGTTATTATAATATTAATGAATTTATAGATGATAATAACCCCTGGAAATGAGGTGATCGCTACCAAGCTATTTCTAATTTGTTGTGTTGTTAATTTGTGTAACATACATGATTGTAAGCTGTTATTTAAAAAAAAGTCCCGCTGGGTTTCTTGCTGGTTCTCTTGCTGGTTTCTGTGATATTGGCAAAATAAAAGAACAACACGTCAAATTCACGAGCACGCATAACAAAACAACTATATTTAAAAAAATGAAATTACGGATTTTATCGCGTTTATTTTTTTTAATTCCCGACGGTGATTTACATCACCCATCGTCACGGGTCACTATTGAAGACTGCATCTCAATTGTAACTAGGAAGCTAGAAGAAAAAAGCGGTACAAAGGCGACATTTTTACATTTTTACCATATGACATTTTAGACCACCTAAACTCCATAAACTCTAAAAAACAATTCACAATGGAGTTAGAGGCAAATAATTCTTTAGTTTTCCTAGATGTTTTAGTCATCCGAAATCCTGAAAACATCACTATTCCATACTAACCGATATTTAAATGGTGAGTCTCACCACCATCCATCACGGTTAGTAACCGTGGCAAAATCTTTGTTTCAGAGAGCACAAGGGATATGAAAGCTAGAAATCTGAAGCAAGTTGAGTGTGCTGGCCACAGTCGAAAATGTGCCTGCTGTACTAACATATGTCAGAGAAGTCAGAGATAAGATTTGCTTCCATAACAACATGCCACCGAAAAAGATAGTAAGTTCTTACCGTCCGCCAAGTGTAATTACCCCTCTACAAGATGCAGGAGTGTACAGGCTTATTTGTGAATGTGGTGTCTCTAGCATAGGACAAACAAAAATATCTATAAAAACCCGCGTAAAAGAACATATAGGTGACGTGAAGCACCGATGGTCCGGAAAGTCTGCAGTCCGCGAACATGTTCAAGATCGTCCCGCCCTTACATCAGATTTGACAGACCACAAATCCTCGTATAAGAACACCGATTCCTACCAAGGATGATTCACGAGATGAATATAAGAAATCATTAAAAGAATATCTTGATGGCAAAAATATTTTCTCGTTTACAAAATAAAGCCCGTTATCAAAAGGAGGAGACGTCTCCATACATTCTTGGGCCCAAGTGTTAACAAGATCAAAGTAGGACCATTTGAAAGCGTATATATAAACAATTCATAGCAGAAAATCTGGCAAGATTTGTAAATCTAGGAGCTGAGTTATTGTAGAATAAGTAAAAGTGAGATTACCTATTACCTACACTATAACAGGTGATTTTTCACTGTTATTACACTGTAACAGGCTATGTTTCACTAAAATTATTTAAAGATATAAAAGCAAGATCAGGATAAAACCACCAAAAAAGCTGTGGTTAATAATGAAACGAAATGGTGAAACGATTAATGAAAGTTAAAACAACAAGCACTAAGTGAAGTGAATATTAGGGATATCGATCTGAGATCGACTACTTGAATTGTTATTAAAACTGTTACTTGTTGGAATTTTGATATTTTGTATTTTTTATTATTATTTAGTAGATATGTACGCAATTGTTTTTATGTTCCTAATTAACACAGCTAAATAATCGAAAATAGATATTAAAATGCTCAATTTAATCGAGAATCGATTATATTGCGCTGGTTTCAAATCGAATCGAAAATCTGTCTTTTTCTTTTAAGTAAATAGTTTGAAGAAAGGTTCTTGAGTGGCAGCCTCGTACCGGTAGGCGAAGTGTAGGGCGACCCCTCACGAGATGGAGCGACGACCTGGTAAGACATGCAGGAAGTCGATGGATGCAGGTGGCTCAGGACCGTGCTTTGTTGCATTCCTTGGGGGAGGCCTATGTTCAGAAGAGGACATGAAAGGCTGTAATAATGATGATGAAATAGTTTGAAGTTTGAACTGCCAAGTTTCAAGATGATTAGTCCTCTATTGGAAGATAACATTCAGAAACGAGAATTTCACTAGTGTATTGTTTATGGTAACCGATTTATTGCCATAAAGACTACACTACAATCGATTTTCTAACTTATTTCTTATTTTATTGTTTTTTTCAAAATCTAGATTGTAAAAAGAACTACGTTTTTGTTTTTCACTTAAGAAAAATATGGCCAATTTTTTAAAGTATAAACCAATTAGTTAACTTCACGCCCAAAAATCCCATTCTCCTTTATAAACTACATTTTTAAACTGCGTGTTAAACTGTAATGACTAAAATAATGAAATAATGACAAATTGATAGTGCGTTTTTAAACGTGGCAAAGGCATGCCTTAAATATAGTGGCATATCACCTGTAGAGCTTTTATTTGTTTCTTGATATTGGTTGCAGCTTGTAATAAGTCTTTAAGCTTTATTGTATCCGGTGGTTTATATTCGACGTTTAAAAGACTAAATACTTCTCTCCAGTGGCGCTCTGTAAAATCCGAGCCGCGTACGTACTTCAATGCAATTGTAAGGTCCTGTAAATAGTTGAAAAATGTTAAATATTTCATCTCAATCTCATCCGACCTTTGTGTGTCTTATTATTTACTTTGGAAATTAATCTATAATATCTAGAAAAATTACGGAAATCGGCTCATATCACAAGTGCGACGCTTCTGTTTTGCAATTATCAATATTATTAGCAAAGCATCCGATTTTTTCCGTACATCTTTTCATCTTCTGATTCAACTGTACCTGACGAAACAGATAGCTTTTGTCCTGCGCCAACATCAACATATTTAAAGAAACTTTAAACGACATAATTTTGTGATAAAATAATAACTATATTTGTTTACAAGCTTGGTAATGACAAGTTTATACTTACGGAATATTTTTCAAGTTCCTGTTTTAGGAACAATGTTATTGTAGTGTAAGGTTCTAACTGCCCACGCCATTTATTTATGAACTCGTCCAACAGATGGAGCTTCTTTTGAAATACGATCCAGTCTTGCTCGGATATGAATTCGTATTCTGCAATTAGATTATGTTTATTTGCTTTTAAAATATTTAAAAGGCCAATTTAATACGGTGATTATAATAAGGTGATGATATCAGCCCGTAACAGTCCCCTGTTGGGACACAGGTGGCTCCACCCATTGGTAACTTTGCTTACCCACTTTGCTTGGCATTGACAGGCGTATATGTATACACGACTCCATAGTCACTAATTCATTCTTGAGGCGATGTATACGCTTCTACAACAAAATTCCATAGCTACCAAGCTATTTATAATTTCTGTTATTTTTTTTTCAAAAAGTTTATCAAATGTTCCGCTTGATTTCTTGCTGGTTATACCCAGGAAAGAGGTATTTTTCGAACCAGTGATAAACTAAACATAAGAATGACTCTCATAACTATTATTCATAATCTATGTCGAATAAAAAAATTTATATTTCTAATATACATCCCTTATATATATAAGAATACACACACACACACACACACACACACATATATATATATATATATGTATGTGTGTGTGTGTGTGTATCCCTTCACAAGTCCTCCCCGAAAGAACGCCACAAAGCACGGTCCTGAGCCATCGCATCCATCGTCTTTCATTTTAACAGCATTAACAATTTAACTTATGTACAATATAATATACTGCTTTGTCGCATACCATCACTGTATTCTTTCAAAACTGTCCAATGGTCAATATAATCCTTTATTAATTTTTCGGCTTTTATCCACATTTCAGATAATTTAATATCCATACTAAATTTTTCGCATTCTTTCCTATAACAAAGAAAAAAATTATTTAAAGTGTTTGTCAAACAAGAAATGTACAATAATAACAATTAAAACAACATTAACTTAATATTATTTGTTAATTACAAAATATCATCATCATTATACTTCCTCACAAAAGTCGATAATAATGATTACTTATATTTACGCGAATAGTTAGTTAAAAAGTTAAAGTTACAGCCTATATACACGTCCCACTGCTGGACACAGGCCTCCTCTCTTTTTTTGAGAGGGTTTTAGGGCAAGGAAAGGTCCGCCGCGCAGCCCCAATGCGTTTTGGCGAACTTCACATGTCTTTGAAATATATTTTTTTTGTTATTGGTCAGACATGCAGGATTTTTCACGATGTTTTCCTTCACCGCCGAGCACGTGGTAAATCAGCACTTAAAATTGCAATTAACAATTTCATTGGTGCCGGCGGGGATCGAACCCGGGTTTCTCGCGTACTGTGAAACTTACAGCAAGCGCTAACCATTTACGCGAATACTACGCATGGAATAAAAGTAATTTTACGGATTTTATCACGTTTAATTTTAACTTTTTAACTCACTCCACCTGTAACCCCAAGATTCTACAAGCGGCACTTTCACAATTTTACCATCAGACAAAGTAACGGCATTCTTAGATCACCTTAACTCCATAAACTTAATTCACTATGGAGTTAGGGGCAAATCATTCTTTAGCCTTCCTAGATGTTTTCATCATTCGAAATCTAAATAACTCCGACAGTCACACTGTGTATAGGAATAAGACATAAAAAGAGCAAGCGTCTCCGATGGACGAAGCTGTCTGTCATGAGTGTCCCGCAGAAACTGAAACTTATGTTTCAGATAATTTGGATAATAGTTATTGAATAAAATCGAAAAAACTGTGTTAAATATCTTAATGTTTTTTCGCTGACGAATTGGAAGCCATTTAAGCTGAGTGCGGAATGAGGATACATGATATAATTTGCGAAGACGAAAAATAAAATGGATACAGTTATTGACGAGACGATCCAGCTTATCAAGGAAAACCTCATTGAGATCAGGAAAACATACATCAGCATAGTCAATAATAGGCAGAATAAGAGATTGCACCAGAGATATCTTTACCTTAACCGGAAGAACTCATGAGACGGTTCAAAGCACTGAGCTTAGCAAAAACAGAACCACTGATATTCTGAATTTGAGTGGACCAACTCAAAGTTGTATCAAAGTTTAACGCTGTCAGAATAGAATTATCAAACGTGACAGGTACAACACAATGGACGTCAAGCTTACACAATTATTGTTGAGCACTACCAATTATTATAGCTTGGCATTTATTGGGGTTTACACTAATACCAAACTTACGACAACCACCTGTGGCGATTCGTTAAATCCATATTGAGTCTGGCAATAGCGTCACATAAAGAGTTGACGTCTGCTTGAATATATATTTGCAGGTCATCAGCGCAAAGATGGTAAGAACAGCTAAGTTGAGAAGAGTCATCTAGTACTATCACAGAATACTAGCGTAAAATAGCAACTTAACGCTGCTGTGTTTCGTATGGTGAGTGTAGAGAAACAGAGACCCTTTTTACTGGAAACGAGGCATTCCATCTTAGTTCTCACGGGTGACAATGCATCTGCATTTTGATTCGTAATCGAGGATAGATGTAGATGTCTATGGTCAGCAACAGCAACTACTTACCATCAGGTGGACTGTGTGCTCGTTTATCACCCTTATCGTTTAAGCTTGATTATGAAGGTGATCTCTGTTACATATCACAATTAAAAAGATCCATAAAAATCAGCGTAGAATAATATATCTGATGTGAAGAATCGACACTTCGGGAAGTCTGCAGTCTATGAACATTACAAAACAATCTATGAAAACACACTTGGCACGGCCTCTTTTTTCAAAAGAGGTGTAGCTAAAAATCAACGACATCTTGACATAAGAAACAACGTTCAAGGAAATGGGATTAGTTAGTACATTGATTTACTCAAATAGAAGTCTAATACTAACGATTTTGTCCCGTTGAATCCTTTGGTAATGTATAGTCTTTAGAAGTGAAATGATTTATGCAGACTACTGAATGTTTTGATGGGATAAAGTACTTTCTCTGTGTAGGTATTATCCATTTTTTTTAACCGACATTTATCGCAAGGAAATCTGTGACCACCTTTAGCTGATGAACAGTACGGTACAGCACAAGACTGACGCTTCGTTTTGTGTATAAACGTACACTAGAAGCGAAAACCTTTTAAATAATACGCAATTTTCCAATGTCGATTGTGACAATGACAGATAAACTTTACTCAGTTGCTACCAGTGACATCTGGTGAGCGGAAAATTATTAGCCCTCATGTTACGGACCCCCACGGATGAGATAATATGATGAATGTTCTTACGCCGCCATGACACGGCGCAATGGTTCACGTATCTAGTAATAGTAATAGTAAGTTACGTGGTAGAGCCATGCTGCAGCTATATTAATAGTATAGTTGTAGCACGAATGGGTCGGCTCGACAGGGGAAGGACCACGCTCTCACAGAATACCAGCGTAAAATAGCAGCTTAATGCTGCTGTGTTTCGTATGGTGAGTGTAGAGAACCGGAGACCCATTTTACTGGAAAAGGGGCATTCTGTCTTAGTCCTCAAGGCTGACAACGCATCTGCATTTTAATTCACAAACGAGAATAGATGCAGATGTCTATGGGCCACAATAACCACTTACCATCAGGTGGACTGTGTGCTCGCTTGTCACCCTAATTCTATAAAAAAAAAATCTGAACATAAACTTACTGGAGCTCGTCTCTTTCGGCAAGGTATTTCAGCCACTGCGCATGCGCTTCAAAGACAGTTCGACAGCGCTGCGCCATCTCCGCGTAGTGCGCTCCTTGCGAACTCTCCAGGCGAGGCTTCGCCTGCTCCCAACGCGACAGCCACGCCTCCACGCTCGCGTCAAGGTTTTCCCATTCACCTTTTAGACTAGATTTAACTACTTCAGCCTTAAAAATTAACAATTAAACTAATTAGTAACTGATTATAACTCTTAACTAACAAGGGAGCATTCCTTACTCGTCATCACTGATTTCGCTCAAATTTATAGGATATGCAGGACTTGGCTAGTAATGAACATACCCGAAATGGAAACTCCAGATTGTCCAGATGGCCAAGCTATATCATTTTTTTAAATAATTTATTTACCTCTATGCTTAATTGGAAAATGAATAATATAAACATTGAATAAAAGAGAAAAAATCAAGACACGAGGAGTCGAAGCCACGACCATCGAATTTCTAATCCGAGCTCTTACTATACGGTGCGTAACGTTAATTTACGGTGGTAAATAGGTTATACGGTGCGAAACATTTTTATTATTCTATATACTTTTGGCTATCTATTTATTATTATTATTGTAGTTAAGCGCTGACCTAGAATTATAAATAAATACTAAATTCATCTTAATACCTGATGTAGGAATATCTGATGCTGGCTCAGCATCTGTTCGCGCACTTTCTGCCACTCTTTAAGCGTGTTATCGACGGACGTGTCGCCGCCCCAAGTGCGCAGCATTTGACCTTTACGTTTTAAATTTTCTACCATTTTTTCCATCTGCAAATTACCATATAATTAAAAGTTCAAATAGAGAAGCTGCATGTTTTTTAATTTTTTTTCAATTTTACTAAAAATTATTATGAAAAATTAAAAAATATATTTAACAATTGATTTTTGAATTTATCAATTAAAAATCGTTTTTCTAAAATGTATATTCAAGCGCCAGTGGCGTCATTATATCGCTTTAGTAACGGCATCGCATGGTGAAATTATAAAACACTCATGTTTACGTTGTCAAAATAAAAAAAAATGTCATTGCACAATGCAGGTTATTTGTTTTGTTATGACACATGGTGATCCGAATATAGAAAATACAAAAGTATGGCATGATTGCGATCGGTTTACAGCCTCAACGGATATAATGACGTCACAACCAATCACGTCATTTTTTTCATTCAAAAATTTTACTATTTTTTAACAATGATTACTAAAAAACGGAATTGTTAATAAAAATGTTTAATATATGTACTTTAAATTAATTATTCATTCATTTATATATAAAGTTGTAGCAAAAAAAAATAATGCTACTTCTCTAATGTAGTAAACATATGGATTAGTAATTACGAAAAGAATCAACATTTGTTAATCAAATATGTCTTACTTTCTTCTCTTTCCTACCATATAAATCGAATACATAATCTAACTTTGATAAAATAAATTCGAAACATCCACCCATCCCATCCGCCCGGGGTATTAGAGTATATCCAGCGGCGGATACAAGAGATATAATAATGCCTAATTAAAATGTAACAATAAATACGTTACGTGGTAGAGCCATACTGCAGCTATATTAGTAGTATAGTTGTAGCACGAATGGGTCGGCTCGACCGGGGCAGGACCACGCTCTCACAGTAAACCAGCGTAAAATAGCAGCTTAACGCTGCTGTGTTTCGTATGGTGAGTGTGGAGAACCGGAAACCCTTTTTACTGGCAAAGAGATATTCCATCTTAGTCCTCACGGGCGACAACGCATCTGCATCTTGAGTCTTTATTGAGGATAGATGTAGATGTCTATGGGTCACAGTAACCACTTAACATCAGGTGGACTGTGTGCTCGTTTGTCACCTTATCCTATAAAAAAAAACAATCTTCTTGTTATTCGTTTACCCATAAAAGTGGACTGTGTGCTCGTTTGTCACCTTATCCTATAAAAAAAAAACAATCTTCTTGTTATTCGTTTACCCATAAAAGTCCACTGTTGTTTAAGGATCTCTCCCGTTAAAAAGGGATCCAGATTGGCGATCGCAGTACCTACTAGACGTCTCGCAACTTTGACGCTAATCCCCATTGAAATATTAATATTACCAACCACAATAAAACCTTGCATTATTACAATAATAAAACATTGAAAAACCGCTAAATCTCAAGCTTTTGATTTATTATACAAAAAATACCTCTGGCATTTTATCTTGCAAAGCCTTTTGCTTCACACTGATCTCTGCCAATTCTTTAGCGTTTTTTGGCATCGCTTTGTTCTCAAGCATGACCATCGCATTAGCTATGAAGGTGTCCAGTTCGGCAGTATCGTTGAGACAACTCGCTTGCAGAGACGACATTAAACAGGCCCAAAGATTGCGCGCTTGGGCTTCAAACTCGCGCCGTAGTGCAACAGTACCCAATGATATCCAGTCGATCTTCTCGTCCTCGCTATAAATAAAAATAAATTCGGTTTTTTAAACACATTAATAAATTTTTTTATTTTATACTTGAGCACTAATAATGTTCTCAAAACGAAATTTCAGTCAAGGCAGTAAGTCTCAACGGAGACTTGCCATCTGCGCTGGACAGGATTATATAGTGCAAAGGTGCTCTATTCCCTCAGCCTTATAGTCTGATGGGTGAAACAACTCCAACATCCTGACTTGTGAAAACTTTTTGATATAAAAACCCAATAACTGACTTTGGCCCGATTGGGGCCCGGGACCACACGAGCAGCAGTCGGCCTTACAACCACTAGACCAACGTGGCAGTTAAAGCTTTCACACTAATAATAATGTCCTCCAGACCGAATTTCAGTCACGGCAGCCAGTCTCAACTGAGACTAGCCATCTGCGCAAGACAGGATTATAGTGCCCAAGTGTAAACGCAAGCGCAGGTGCACTCCCTATTCCCTCACTCTCATAGTCCGATGGGACGGTAAACTGACACGACCGGAGAGAGATCAGGCGCAGGACCAACGGCTTTACGTGCTTTCCGAGGCACAGGGGTGAGACACCGCCGACTTCCTGACTCCGGGCAGCTACTGAGAATTTCTTGATGGAAAAACTCAATAAATAATTTTTTTTGGCCCGACTAGGGATTCGAACCCGGGACCTCATGATCAGCAGTCGCACTACTACAACCCCTAGACCAATGAGATAGTCGCTTTTACACTATAATCTATACAAATAAATAAAATTGAAGTGACTGTTTGTAATGTCAAAATAACAGCTTTTACTAAATGCATATGAAAGTATATACTATACTAATAACAAAAACACAATTTTTAAAATTTTTGTTTGTCTCTTTGTTCCGTATAATCTCCGAAATGGCTCCACCGATTTTGACGGGAGTTTCACTGGCAGATAGCTGATGTTATAAGGAATAACTTAGGCTACTTTTATTTAATTAGGGTTCCGCGCTAAAAAAAAATAAAACCCATGAAATCCAATCGTAATGAACTATTACACGCGGGCGAATTCGCGGGGAACAGCTAGTATATTAATATGATTATTAATAAGTTCATTAGAAATAAGCTCAGTAATATCTAGATCTTCATTTTCCATTACGGATGTAGGACTATATAGGGCTAACAATAAATTATTATAATTAACCGTGCAGTGGCGGTGTAAGAATATCCACTACACCATATCGTCCCGTAGGTTTCGTAAGAGGCGAAAGAAGGAAACAAATTTTTTTAAACTTATTATATTTAAGCCAGTGCTTAGCCACAATCCCACCTGGTAGTAAGTGATGATGAAGCTAAATGGTAAATCGCTCTATCTTGGCGTAACAAAAGCCTATTCACTCTTACATTGAAGACGGTTACATTGTATACGGACGGAAAGACAGAGGCCGGCAAATTATTTCACTCCTTTGCAAAAGACGAAGAAAACCGTTTGGCTTTAATGCGTGAAATATCAACAGCAAAGAGATGAAGACCCGCCGACCACCTGGTTCTCCGATGATGGCAAGGAGAGGGTGGAAATAAAGATCTCCGAAATGCATCCTATGCAATATAGGTTGGCTACTCTGCACCTGTGCTCGTGGCTAACCAGATTGATTTCAATAGCACGGTTTTTGCAGCACCCATATGTGACAGCAGTACTCTGTGCACGATCGGACTTGCGCTTTATATAGAGAAGCTCAACTATAGCTTCTCTTTCGGACTGAACTTATACAGGAAATCAACTCAAAATTATAAAAACTGCGGTTGCCAAACCGCTTCCCAAGCATGGCAACTATGGCACAATGCCCTTATGAGGTAATCTACGACGAATGCCTGGTTCAGCAGTAGAAATTTATGACAGAGGCCTATACTCAGAAGTGGACTTTTATAGACCGTAATGGTATAATTATAATGTTGGCCTTGGCGTAATTTAATAATGTTACTCTCCAATAGAAAGGCTTAAATATTATGAGCTTACAGTTCATCTGCAACCAACTTCAAAGAAATAAGGCTAACAGATGCGTTGTGACACTTCTAAGGACTAAAATGGTATGCCTGGTGCGCGCACCCTCCTTAATGCTGGAACACAGCAATGCAGGCACTACTAATTTGGCAGCATAGGTAAGACAGTGGTATCTACACACAATTCGAAAATACGCACATTTTTCGGACATGCTAAGGTACCATCTTAAACTAGTCCAATACGTGTTGGTAAACTGATGGGGAAGTAGAAGTTTTATTGCAGCCAGTCGCTCCCTCTGCCATCCGCAGGTAAGATAGAGCCGTAGAGGTCCATAGAGAGCCGAAAATCGAATGTGAATTGCTTTGGAAACATGGACCTGATTTGTCGTTCAAGATCGGGCCCTCATAGCCTCCGGTTGGCAACAAACAAGCAAAAATTCAAGGGGTGTGGGTGAAATCACCCATGAGCAGTGCTAAACTTCGTCTTTTTTGCAATGGGAATGTCAATAAGTCGGTGGTGATTTATTTTTTTCAAGAATATATTCTTTGCTACGAACGGCCGAATTTAGGAGTTGAAAAACATAACATAACATAACATAAACACTCACGCCTGTCACCCAGAGGGGTAGGCAGAGACTACGGACTTCCATTTGGCGCGATCCTGACACACCTCTCTCGCCTCTTTTACATCCATATATCTAAGCATACACGCTCGTCGGTTAAGGGTACTCCTAATCTGGCCCATTTTAATGTATCGCCGATTTGGTCGATAAACCTTCGTCTAGGGCGTCCCTTCCCGACCCTGCCGTTCACTTCTGCAACATAAATTTGCTTTGTCACTCTTTCCTCGTTCATTCTTTCTACATGACCAAACCACCGAAGCTTTCCTTTCTTAATCCTTGTCACAACGTCATCTTGCAAACCACACTTTTGTCTTATCACATGATGAGTCGCGGGGATGAGTCGCTCGCGTCCGTAGGCTTCGACCACCTAATCCTAGGCCCACCCTACACGTGTCCCCCGGGTGGTGCTAAACGAGCGACAAAGCCGAAACGACAGACTCGGCTTCTCGCCGTATGGTAGCGGCGTAAAATCTACCACCCCTTAGTTCGCACCATGAGCCAAGTAGGAGTTGACAAATTTATAAATAATCCACCAGCAAGCTAAAAATCATGATTACCCTGTATTTTTTTTAAATAGCGGCCGGCTGAATACATTTTACAGAATATATTTGCGTTTAATTGTCAAAGGGTGTAAGGACCACTGGCGGATTATTCTTAAGTAATATATAATAAAGTATTTACATAACACCATGACCAGGCAAAGATAGGACAAATAATTATTTTTTAATTTTTTTTCAAATTTACGTTTGCAACTTTGTCTAAATGTAATTCTATGCAATTAAGGCATTCAATAAATATTAAATTTTATAAAGGAATGTCGTTTCTTTAAGTATCCATTAAAAATAACCACTATCAGATATAAGTATAAAGTTTGTACCGCCACAAAATATCGGACTACGTCCGATGTTGTTCGATCGCTAATAACGTGAGCTGTATGAAGTTTTAAAACATGACGGCTTAAATTTTAGGTTGGTAGTTTCATAATCATTGAAATTACTATGTCTTCGTTTTGCAGATGTAAAAAAGAACAAAGTTATGGGGATATTTTCGTTTTAGGCAAAGTTAAGCATGGAAAGCAATGTTGCGGCAGTTTACGGTAGTTATAATACTTGGCCGCCAGAGGAGCGCCGATGAGATGCTAGCCTAGGGCGCTGTCGACATTTAAGCCGCTTTTGGTAAGGACAGAATAATATAATAAGACTAGTTATACAACGCTTAAGATCACATCCCAGGAAGCGTGCATGAACAACGCAGATAGCCATTACTTTTCCAAATAGATGTCGATATTATCCATTTTGACGCAAAATTAAAACCATGAACTTAAGGCGATCAGCTAATTAACAATAAGGCTTATGCGCGGCCTGTCGTGAAAAACCATAAGTGTAATTTTTTTTTCTAAAAACGTTAACCCTCACATTAAGACTTTCTCCTGTAGTGTTGAGGCAGTTTATAATACAGTTATTTTTCAAAGAGTAGCCAAATTTTATATCTAAATTCAAATAAATAAATTATTATATACCGATATTACATTTTTTGAAAACATGAGTAAATAAGGTTTCTACTTTTATTTGAAACTATCCCATATTGAATGTGATTATTTGGCAACAACTACGCTTACGTGAGCTCCTGTGTATGTGATTCAATTCACGTTTTTGTTTCTCAACTTTTTGCCTACTGTTTACTTTCTTAGTAATACGCTTACTACTAACGCTTAAGTTAATTAATACATAATACATATTATTATTTAAATTTTCCCTTCACACTTTTAATGGATCGCCATAATAAATAAAATTAAAAAATATATTTTTGCTTATTAACGACGTAACCGATGATTTTCATTATTATGGTTCATTTCAAAACAACCTAAATTCAAAGTAGCGGATCGGAGCGAGAACGAGCGCCCTCACGGCGTTGTACGGTTGGATTAATCAGCAGAAAAACTGGGCCAGTTGCTCCCGCGCAGGGCCAACTGGCAACAGGGGCAACCCGAGAGTTTCCAAAGATTGCCAAACGGTCGAACAGGTAGAGCCGTGCTACCACACTCTTTATGCGTAGACGAGCACGTTTTATTAAATTATCTTTTACATTTATTACCTGTGCTTGAGCACTTTTAACCTTGAATGCAGCAATAATTTTCCTGTAGCGGTTTATAATTTTGGGTCTCTTTGACGTAATCACGACTCTTTATTTCACTCCACAGATAAAAAGTACTAACGATGAAGGTTGCGGCGAGTTTGCAGACTATAGTATAGGGCCTCCGTGCGCAGTCCGCCTATCTTCATATCTACTATTTAAGTTATCGCTCACTGCCGCGGTAAACTCACTTTCGTATAATCTTTGCGCACCACGTAAACTTTCATTGCTTAAAATGTAATATCGAACCATTTCATAGTTTTATAGTATCCGCGGTTCGAATGTTTTCGTTCCATTATTTGTAACGAAACGAACGTAATGATGTCAAGGTCAACCTTTGCAACACCTGCCGCCCGGACGAGTGGATGTAGGTACTTAGCAGTGTAACGGTAAACGGAAGGGAAGGGTGCAGAAAGACGCGCGACAAGATACCTTACCGAGCGACCCTTAGTGTGTGCGTGCGTAAAATAGTATAGTATAGTATCAGTATACTATACTATTATAGTATAGTACAATCGGTAAAAATAATGCCATTACCATGCATTCAGAATTTAAAAGATAAAAAGGACAGAATGTTTGAGATTTTTTAGTCAATTTTTCTTCACCATTCACCTAAATTACTTATTCTGAACCTTTTCTACAAATTTGGCCGTACATTGCAAAATAACCCTGTATAAATTGCATAAGGACAAACATCCAGACCCAGAAGAATCTTGTAGGCCGTAAAAATACTTGTTCCTTGCGAGATTCAAAGTATCGAAACTGAGCTGTCATTGAGATAAGATACTTTATAAGTCGTCACATATCAATAGTTTTAGAGAAAATCGTCTGTGACAGTCGAAAGGATGGAAACCAAAATGGTTTTGGCGTGGGGAACGATGAACGTCAACTTACAAGGTCATTTTGGCGACGGCCTGTCCGTACGCCTTGCAAGCCTTGAAGTTGGTCTCCCAGTGGTGCGGCTCGGTGAGGTGTTGCAGGCACAGCGCGTGCAGGTCAGCGTGCGGGGCGGCGGGCAGGTCGGCGGGCAGGTCGGCGGGCAGGCAGGCCAGCGCCAGGCGCCGCGTCCAGGCGCCGCACGCGTCGCGCACGCGCCCCAGCGCACCCTCCAGCTGGCGCACCGCCTTGTTGCCCAGCCAGCCGTGCCTGCCGAGTCGTTCCGCTCATAAGCACAATGAAGCCTTAACACCAATTTAAAATATATATTAACTTTTGCCTTCTAGTATATTTACGAATATTTAATGTATGTAAGGTAGACTGAGGCGCAGGTGTGACAGTGGGGCTAGTGTAACAAATGAAAAAATTATGCGGCATAAACACGTTTTTTGGTTAAATGTCATTTATTGAACAACGCAGGAACTTTAACGCTGTTGACTATACCGACAGTCATGGGCGCCGCCAGGATTACTTTCAGGGAGGTGCATCTGCATCTACACCTTAGAGTATTAACTAATAAACTGACCGGCATAAAAAACCACTCACTATGATTTCTTTAAATAAATAATCTTGAAATTATATTTGTGTTTATTTTCGGACAGAAACAGGTCGCCAAAGACCCTACTCTTTACCCTAGCAATACTAAGTAACAGGGCCATGATGGCTATTGAAGTCAGAAATAAAATAAAATAATATTTCACTCATCGAAAACGCCTTGCTGCTTAAAATTCAAAGTGAGGCCTTTTTTGTACCGGTCAGTGTATACAATATATAATATGTAGTTTGGAAAATCCAAAAGTGCACACCATATGAGCGGTTTCATTCAAATTTGATAAAAAATAAATTACCAAAATAAATCAATTACACACAGTATAACAACGATATAAGCTGTCATTTGTCCTTTGTCTATCAAGACCTAAAGAAGAAAATGAAAGCGCCTTTAAAATTTTAATAGCAATAAAATTTATAAAACTTGAAAATCATTTTAATAAGAAATGACACGTACTAGGCTATTGATATGATATAGGGAACCAGTTGACGTAATTTTGAAGCTAATAAAATAAACCCGGTCTCGATACGTCAATTTTTTCGGTAGTTATCACGACCACATACAAAATCAACATCCGGACGTCCATGTAATGTTTTTTTAAACCGCTTTTTATCAAGTAGCAATATAAAATGATTTTTAAAAACATATGGATTAATTAGAGTGTTTTCTTGATATACGGCTACTCATATTATCGTATAAGTGCAATATGGTTATGATAGAGGCATTTTAAGACCACGAAATTGCTTGACCTTGACGTGTCGAGAGTAATACACTGCCTAATAATGCTTGCGTTATGAGGCGTGCAATTATACATTTATTTATGTAGATAAATGTAATGTCAAAATCAAACCGCGCGGGTACTTGATTTAATATTTCGCTCATCAAAACTTAATTTCTGTAGTCGATGGTTGGCATTATGGATCGGAGAATCCCCGCTGCCGCGCGACATGCTCAGTGCTCACAGGGAAAGAGTAGAAGAAGATAGGTACTGAATTTATCAACAAGGTGATGAACAAATTTGGAAAGCAACCTATAGCAAGCCTTCAGTTTTTCTATGTATGTATTTTCTTTCCTGACAGGGGGGTGCAAGCGCACCCCTTTGCACTCTGCTGCCGGCGCCCATGTCGTTAGTTAAGAATATAGATCCAACTATTTTATCGACGAACGTCATTTTTTAACACTACTCAACTGGGGACAGACAGTGCAATTTTAAGAGGCGAAGTTTTTAAGTGTTTCGTTGTGTCATTAAGTAATTATAAACAAAATACAAGGTGAGTGATAAAGAATAATATTGTTGGTCACCGAGTTCACCCGAAGCAAATGTGACATAAATTAATTAAAACAATAATGAGCATTTAAATACTTCTACTCTGTAAGAATTTATCATAAAGAGTTCGGTTTCAAAACATCAATTATTACATAGTTGTTCGTTTGATCAAGCATTTTAGTATCTATAAGTAGCATTTTGTAATTTGAGGTAATTAAAATTAACAAAATCGGAAGACCCATCAATGAAACAGATGAATGAATGAATGAAATATACTTTATTGTACACCAGAAATACATATGAGAGAGAAAAAGTAAAAACATAAATTATTTAAAGGTACAATTGGCAGCCTTATCGCTTAGGAGCGATCTCTACCACATAACCATTGCAGAGGATAAAATGACCTGTGAAAAAGGGTAAGGGTGTACGTAGGTTGTTGGAAAATACACACGACATACATATAATTATATAATCAATAAATACATACATACTATAATAAATAAATACATTTTAAATACAAAAATATAGACATACATATACGAGAGCAGAAAGGATTAAACAAGTAAGTGAATATGAGTAGGTAATATTTTTTTAGAGGAATGACTTAAATAGTCATTCCTCTAAAAAATATTATAGGAGGAAAGAAGTGCGCTTTGAGAAGTTTTTTAAACTTATCAATACACTGCGCACTTTTAATGTGCAGCGGTAGGGAGTTCCAGAGCCTAACAGCTTCAACAGAAAAGGATTTAGAATAGAAGGAAGTGTTATGAGATGGAATTTTTAGGGTGAGGTTTTTCACAGAGCGAAGAGAGCGACAGTGAGTGTCACCAAGAAACTCAAACCGCTCTTTAAGGTAGGCATGGAACGAGTAGTGATTCGCCGAGTACTCGTCCACCGGGTACTCGGCCTAGATTGGGCCGAGTACTCTGCCGAATACTCGGCTTTTAAAAAAAACGCGGTAGCGGGCGGCGTCCGGTTATTTCGCTTACAAACTAGATTGGGTCTAGTACCGAAAAACTAGTGTTTTTGCATCACAATATTCCTCTCTTAAATTTTAAATATTAGTAATAATAATTTCTATTATAGATTCTTATGTACGTTCTGAATATTTCTGCTGCTTCTCATGTTCCTGATGTTTCAATGTGTCTAATGTAATAATAATGATAAAAACTGGCTTTTTGTCTTTATTTTTCTCTGGAATATAATTAAGGTCGAGTACTCGGTACTCGGCCGTTAAATCTCGGTGCTCGGCCGAACCCTAAAAAGAGGCCAAATCCGCCGAGTACCGAATCCAAACTGAGTACTCGTCCCATGTCTACTTTAAGGTAAGTAGGGGAAGTGTGACTGAATTGTTTACAGTATAAAAGAGAAAGAATGTGAGTATTCCTGCGCAGACGGATCGGAAGCCACTTGAGTTTTTCGCGATATTCGGAGATATGGTCATATTTTCAAAGTCCAAATATGAACCGTATGCAAAGATTCTGAATGCGCTCAAGTTTATTAATCAACTCCTCATTTAAATTGAGATAACACGTGTCAGCGTAATCGAGAATCGCTAAAAGAAGTGATTGTGCAAGCGCAATTTTGGTAGGTATGGGTAGAAAATTACTTAATCTACGAAGAGATCCGACCCACGCAAACACCCTCCTACTTACTTCGCTTACCTGCGGAGCCCAAGATAAAAATTTGTCAAAAGTAACATCTAGATTTTTAACGGTGTCACTATATGGCACAGGTGTCCCATCCAAAACAATACCCGGTAGGAAAGAAAAATCTATAAGATTAACCAATTTTTGACTGCCTACGGATTTACTTTAAGACCGTATGACTTGATGTGACAGTATACTTCTTTTTGTATTTAATTTATTATTATTTGTGGTTTTCGACAAAATTGATGAAATGATAATGTAAATATATTTTATGATCTATGCGTCCATTTTTGTGTAACAATGGATTATTCCCTGCATGGGGCAAGTGTGATTGTTTTAACCGATATAGTGATGTGCCTATAAATGGATTTATGTCACACTTGCCCTGGATGTTTTGCTAGTGTAATATAAACAGTGCTAAGTGAAAAATAACTTTAATTCAGAAACGTTAACAATCAATAATAATATAACCATAATGCTTTGGTATTTGTATTTTATATGCCATTTTAGTTGAGTAAAAACGTTATTAATAAATGTGTTATTTACTTCAATTTAAAAGAAAAAAGTCATCTTGGTCTTTTAAGAAAACAAACACATTGGGGTTTACTTCTATTTGCAAAAACTCAATGTTTTTCATAATTTCTGTGCAGGTACTAAACGCCCGATAGTACTTCATACAAAACGCCGACACTAACAGCTCCATAATTTAAATTTTTTAATATTACTGTTACGGCCTACGGCTGATCCCACAAAAGTCAAATCCTGGCTGGGGCCCATAGCAGCTTCTTCGACGGGTAGACGTAGGTCGGGCCTCAATATGGCCACGTGGAATATGTTCCTATCACAATAAACTATATGGGAGAAAGCTAGAAACACATAGTACTTACCATTATCCGAAGCTAACTTCGCACCAAGGCTTGGGCAGGCCGTGAGTGTGTGTAATAGTGGATGGCGAGTAGTGTACAGTGAGGTGTAAATGTCTGCGACCTGAGCAAGCTTAGGCGACCAGCAGCGGCCGAGTTCCAGGCTGCCCCAAAATGCTGCATCGCTCCAGCACGCTTCAGCGCCGGACCACTTCTTTCTTCACTGTCACTACTCAGTCTCTCAGCTTCATTGTACCTTTAACTAACTTCAATTCGCCTAATTTCACACTCATCGCAGAATCGAACACGTGATATCCGACACGGCAAGGACAGTAGCACAAAATTCGACATTGAATGTCCCGGATTCCCTTATCACAAATTATAAATTCGGCACCAGAATAACACGTCGCACCAGAGTCAAAATACGCCTTGTTGACACGCAAATTAATCTAACTAGGCAACCCAAACACAAAAGGCACTAACGCGACGATTCAATTATAACGATATCTTCATCTAGCTATCTAGATCCACGACGGGCCGCGAATTTACGTAAGAGGCCTGACGGCCCTCGTGGCCGGCGGGGCACCGACCCCTCGACTACGCGTCGAGCGATAGACTGCCCTCGCGTCGAGCGACTCGGCGTTTATCTCACCTACATACCAAATCAGGTGAGGCGCTAGCTTGAACGCCATTGGAGGGCGTACAAATTACCTTTTTTGGCCTAAACAATTACTATACTAGCGGAAGCATTTAACTTACACAAATTACACACGAACAAACTTTCAGAACCGGAACTATTAATTTGTAGGCTATACTAAAACATGTTCTGTGCGAGATTTGAACCTGTGATCTGTAGCGTCGCAACCAAACGCTTAGACTTTACGCTACGGAGCCGTAAAAGTTGTAGATGAATAGTCATTCCAGGGGCCTGGAGTAGTCCCCAGGCCCCAGGAATGCTTTTACAATATATTTAATAGCAATTTCAATTATTATAATATAAAAATGTAATGCGTTCTAGACACATAGTTAGTTTGACAATGTCATTGATATACAGAATATTAATTAAGCAGGGCCATTATTTGTATGGCCTACAATTTTTTTCAATTTCATAAATTGTTCCAGGTTCCGTTGTTTGTTCTTGTGTAAATGTATGTAAACTATGCGTATGTATATCCCCACTATACAAAAGAAAGTCCTAGTGTGGAGGTAGTCTTTTTAAATGAAGAGAGAGATAGCTGCCATTATAATTATGACCCGTTTGCAAGCGACATTTATATGTTTGACATTGACAATATAAACGTAAACTGTGTTTTATTCATTTTAATTTCATGTATTTGTAATGCATATTTTAAATAAATTTTAGTGTGTAGTTTAGTTAGTGTAAATTTTGTGCCCAAGTTTAGCTATCATATATTATATTATATTTTACATTATACTGAAAACAATATTAAACAGGTTTTATCACTGAACTTACTTTTCAACGATTGAGGCAAATATCGATTGATTCGTCGTGACAGTATTGCTCAGTCCGACAAAGGTTGCAGGAAGCGAGACAAGACGGCGAAGTTGGTGGTAGTGCTGCACTCGCAGGTCCTCCAGTGCCGGCTGGGAACGCACTATGCGCCCTCTGGTACCAATAAAAGAAGTTTCATGTGCATAAGTAATAATAACAATCAAACAACAATTACTTTAATAAAATATTATTTTCTGTCACAAAATACATAACATCATATCTAATAAATCAAAGAATGGGCTACTATTCAGTTATTAAAACTACCTTCAAGTGTGACTAATATAGAAAAGAAAAGAAGAAGTAAGCGGCTCCCACACAGAAGCGGCTTGCGCTGGCGGTCAGTTGTATTCGCTTGCAATGTGAGTGAGTCTGCACACCCGTGTGGCCGTGTCGCGATCTGCAAGCGACTGGCCGCGGCCGCATGCTCCGCCCCTTCCGCCAACAATGTGTGTTAGCGAGTACGCGGCCAGTCGGTGGCCGCAGCGCGGTCACGCGGCAAATTGTTACAACAGGCCGCGTGTACTGCGTGAAAAATGTGATTCTAATAGAAACACAGCAAAAATAATCTAATACCTTATGATAATTCGCATCGTCATTACAAAAGCATTAGGATTAAAACAAAATATATGATAATATTGCCGAATATAATAAGACTTCATCACGGTTAACCATGTTTACTGACGTCTAATCGTAGCACTGACACACAGCGAATGGAGCTTCAGGCCGCCACTGCGACCGCGGTGGTGTGTTGTTGCAGCGGCTGGAGTCGCGGCTCGCGGTTAGCCGTCACCGCAAGCCGCTTGTATGTGGGAGACGCTTCCTTGCATTTATTTAATAAAAAAATCAACTTTGCTAATCTACTAGCGGAGGTAGGTGATGTTGAAGACAAGAAGTCAAAACCTATAACATCCAGACATAAAAACCAGAGATTAAGGTGTGTATTCTGTGGTTGCTTTCGATAAAAAAAATCAAGGAGTACACACAGTACCTTTGACTTTGCACAACAGCTAACGGCACTGTGTTACTTAACAATTCGTTTTATGCAAATTTTTTGAGTCGCTTTCAAGATTACTCCTTGATAAGAATAATCTATATATAACTTAATTTTTTTTTTTAATTGCGGCTTCTAAATTGGTAACCACAAAAATTTTATGTCAAACTATAAAATAAAATAATTTTGCAGCATTTATTAGAATAATCCTTATGGTGCCGTTACTTGAATCGTAAAATTTTAAAATGCGTTATTATTATATGCGTGTATTGCTTATATCAAATAGTTAATGTGTTAAATTCAATGTATTACAAAATTAAACATTAATATTTACGCAAAACACTTACTATAATTTACCAAAAAAAAAAACTATCTGCCAACCAAAAATGCTACTTTATTTACATCATGATAATTATTTTACACTTTCGCTGGTTTTTCAGAATTAAATGAAGAATATAGAAGACGGTCTTAAGATTATTTTCGATTATTAGATTACCTTGAGACCTATATAAAACATGCCAAAAAATAGCAGCATACAGGTTTTGTCTGCGGATAAAAAAAGCTGATATATATTTTTGAGTCGGTTCTGCAAAAAGGTCTTGAAATGTGATGACTGCTGCCCCGAATATGTGTGCAACAAGACGGATTTAATGTATCTTTCTGAATACAGTAAAAGCCAGTAAAGTAGCAACAATATTTCAAGAGAAACTTTTTAACCTACCGCAGCACTAAGTCAATTCTGACGTGCGGAAAGTGCGTGTGAAGCGAGAGCAGTGCCTTTATATATTGACACTCGAGCGCTTTGTACAACTGCCAGTCCCAATGGGATCTCCATTGCTCCGTATTCTTATAGCCATTTGCTTCAACCTAGAAATAAATAAACATATATTTTATTCAAATATTGCAACTATATGTGATTAAAATAAACATTATCAAACATCAAAACTTCGTCGGATAAAATGTTAGAAGAAAAATTTTGAGGACGTGCGAGGTCCAAGACGAATAAGCTTTGTTTAAAAACGAGTCGTGTGTGTAGAAAAGTTACTTCAATACGTACCCGAGACGAATTAAGTTAACATTTCTCAACGGGTTAACACGTGTAAATGCTGCTTCAACATTATACAGGATTATTTTTCAAAGAGTATCCAAATTTTATATTTAAATTCGATATCGAAAATACGAGTAAATAAGGCTTCTAATTTTATTTGATATTATCCCAAATTGAATGTGATTTATAGACAACAACTATAAGCACATGAGTAAAGAAACCGACCAGAGGGGAAGCTACATACAAACGGCTCGCTACAAAAACACCCATACATAGCGCAGAGATGTGTGCGTGAGCTCTCACCGATAGGTTCACCGACGCTCCGTCGGGGTACAAACCGGTTTGCGCCGGCTCAGTCAGAGTATCCATGAAAGGGCTGTTTGTTAGTCGTGCGCATTTAAATAAATAGACACAATATTTCGAAATTTTATACATAATTAATTTATTAAGTTTTTTTGCAATTATTAAATAATTAGATTTAAGTATTTTAATTAAAATAATTAAGAATTGAGTTATTATAAATTTATATGGGTAAATAATAAGTGTTCTGTATAAGCAAAAATGCCTAATAGTTGTACGGTATGCATGAATAATTCTAGAGAAAATAAGGATATTTCCTTTTTTTTTGTACCCGAGAATTCAAGAGAAGTAAGTACCGTTTTACGTATTTAATAATATACAAAGAAACTAGGTAATAACATTGATAAGTAAGTGAGAATGTGCTAGACAGGTACGTCACCGAGTGATGAAATCGGTCTCACTTACTTGAAACATTAGTCAGTCTAACCTTGACAGTGCCGTAGATGGCAGGATATCCTACCCACCCACTTTAAAGGTAGGTTGCTTCCTTGTGAAGGATATAAGCTACTTTTTGCGAGTCGCGACCCCAGGAGTAAATACCACTGCATTATGACTGGAATACAACCGCCAGACATTGGTGGGGGTGGTGGGATTGGTGTTGGTGGAAGTGGTGCTGGTGTTGGTCGATAGTTTTGCTGATGGTGTCAGTGGTGGTAGAGGTAGTAGTATCGTAGGTAGTTGTAGTAGACAGTGGACCAACAGTGGCTCCATCAACACTACCACCATCACCACCATTACTATAACCACCACCACCACCGCCGCCACTGCCCACGACCACCATCACAACCATTACTATCACCACCAACACTCTTGATTTCGAACAATTAATAGATAATATGTTGTTACATTAATATAAGTTATAATTAATACATAATTATGTTGTCTTATGCTATACAATATTTTTATTTTTTCCTTAAATTTTTCACATGCGTCATGTGACAACCCTATCAAAATAGATATACATTTTCGACGTTGTTAAGAAGCTTCCCCTCTGGTCCTTACTCTTTACTCTGTGCTATAAGTACGCGCGCTCCTACATATATGTGCCATTCAATTCACAACGTTTTTGCTGACCGAGCGACCTAAACGAATGGGTGCGTGTGTCGTATATAGTAGGCATTAGATATTTAAGATTGACAATCAGTTAAATTAATGCATTACCTCGTATTCTGAATTTGAAAGATAAAAAGGACAGAATGTTTGTGATTTTTTATGATTAATTTTTCTTCACCATTCGCCTATATTAATTATTCTGCACATTCTCTGCATATTTGCGCGTATATTGCAAAGTAACCCAGTATATATGATATAAATGTTCTCACCTTACCTACAGTTACATTCTAAATGGAAAATACCTTTTCTTTACAAGCAACCGGGTCACGGAACAATAATATGATTGTTATGTACGTACAGTTTCAATTATATCTCTTATTTCTTTGATGCATTTCTTCCATTCAGTTTGTTTCACTAGCAGCTCTGTATCCATTAGTTTTTCGACAATACTCCTTATTGCAACATGTTGACTCGTCAGGTAGGAATTCTGAAAAAAGATAAAAAAATTATGAGATAAACCGTTTTTTTTTTTATAGGATAAGGGTTACAAACGAGCACACAGTCCACCTGATGGTAAGTGGTTGCTGCGGCCCATAGACATCTACATCTATCCTCGTTTGCGAATCAAAATGCAGATGCGTTGCCACCCGTGAGCACTAAGATGGAATGCCTCATTTCCAGTAAAAAGGGCCTCCGGCCACCCGCACTCACCAAGCGAAACGCAGAGGTAAACCTCTACTTCACGCTGGTATTCTGTGAAATCGTGGTACCACTCCGGTTCGAGCCGGCCCATGCGTGCGACAGCAAAAGCTGCCGCGTGGCTCTATCTCTGTTGAAAATTAGTTTTCTAAATAATACTCCTTTCGTATTGTCTTAAAATAACTAGACGATTTCGTTCTAGTTTTCAAGGTATAAAAACTAAGGACCTTCTAAGATAAAATTCAAACCTTTTATAACACAAAATACTTACATAATAGCAATAGTTTACTATGATCAGTGGTTATGATATAATAGGTATAGTTAATTTTACAAGAATGCTAAGGTGTCTCTAATTTTCATGAAATCAAGATATTTTCATTACTGTAAATTATTTGCAATAAAGAAAATAACTTGTTCGAAACCAAATAGAAGAGATAGACAGATAGAGAGAGATCTCAGGTAAATCATTTTGTGTATTTAAAAATCGCAATATAATAAAGATGTTAAGTGTGTGAAGAATTACCTGTGTCTCCAGTTTTAGGACCATCTTCTTCAATTTTTCTGTATAATTAGAAAGTTGTTCTATGTCGTTCCAATAGACGGCCTTTTGATCTTGCACCAGGGCGGACAAGTCCAAAGCAGCTTGCAGCATCATGGGTCGAGTGGACGGAATCATACGCTCACCTAGCGTGTTGTGGAATGATGCGACCTACATAATATTTAATATTAACAGGATTTTAGGACGTTTTAATGCTTGCAATCTACGCTCTAATAAAGTGTAATTTTGAATTCCTTTTATATTATTCATACGGCAAAAGTTTAAAATGTTTTAAAAAAAACATGTGTACAGTTCACACGCGCTAGAAATGAGACCTTCAGAAAATTACGAGTAAAATTGCTTCGTAATAGTGCCATCTAATTCATTGAATAGGTATTTTTTATAGAATAAGGGTGACAAACGAGCACACAGTCCACCTGATGGTAAGTGGAAGTTGTGGCCCACAGACATCTACATTTACCCTTAATTAAGAATGAAAATGCAGGTGCGTTGTCGCCCTTGAAGACTAAGATGGAATGCCTAAGTAGTAAAAAAAGGTCTCCAGATCTCTACACTCACCATACAAAACAAAGCAGCATTAAGCTGCTATTTTACGCTGGTAATCTCTGAAAGCGAGTTCGTCCACGGTTGAGCCGACCCAATTGTGCTACAACCATAATAAAGCTGCATTATGGCTCTACCGCGTACAAATTCACGTCATTCTATAGGTAAACTCATTTTTATGGAACAAAATTGATTGACTCTCAAGGTGGTAAGCTGGTAAGTAAAATTGACGCTAGATGGCTTTAACACGACTAATTTAATATAAATCGGTAGGTTAAGAAAATTGTGGATTGTTATAAATGGATATAATAATTTTATTCAGTGTGATTAATTTTATTCATCTAATAAATTTGTTATTTTTTAAGTGTTTATTCTTTAACAGATAATTTTATTTTATCTTTATTATTAACCATATTAATTTTATTTATTAAATAAATTTCTTATTTTTTAACTGTTTATTTTAACCATCTTTAAAGCACCGCTCAAAGAGGAGACCATAGTCTATAGGAAACACTGTATACTGTATTCTATCTCATTCTCTCGCAGGCTTAATCCTATAGATGTATACGTTCTGTCTCTTTTTAGTGTCTTGTGGTTACAAATCACAACAATAATAGCGGAGCGTCATATCGATGTTGGCGACGTGAAATCGAGGGTATATCGAGAAACCCCCACTCGTTTGTGCCGTATAAAGTTCACTGTGGGCGCCGTAAGCGAGAGATTCTGCTTAAGTCATTCTGAGAATGTAATAATTCTTCTAGTGCAGGCAAGGAAGAGGTGTTGCTGGGAGGTTGCACTGTGTTACAATGAGATGGGTAGTATTGGTGTTGGTTTGCATGTTTTGGTTTTATCACAGTGTCAATAATAGTACAAGAACAGAAGGATCACTCTCTGATAGTAAACTAACGAGTTTAAGCCTAGTTACAACGTCGCTAATGTTCATAATACTTTGCACGCCTCGGAAGCGACCTCCGTGAATATAGCCTACGTCGAAAAAAAATTAATGCGGCGCGCGTATTACTTCAAAATGCACATTACTTCCGCGTGCGAGTGTCTATATCACTTAGCCCGTTACGCGCCTTTGTTAAGGCCGCCCCTACTGTAAAGTGAGGTATTGTGAGAAAACAAATTGAATCCTGATATTATTTGGTATATAGTAGATCGCAACCGAGACAGTATTGAATTGGCGATACAAGCGAATACTTCGAAGCTATACAACTGCGAACTAAAGTGATTAGTAGTACAATTGTGTCTGTCGCGGTTTATACCGGCCTTATATAGGGCCTCAGGCAGTTTCCACAACCTTCTAGTATAGAAACATCTAGAATGTTCGAGTACATGTCGGTCCCGATATTTCTAGAAGGATCTTGACTCTCCTAGTTCTGCTACTCGATACTAGAGGACGCTAGTGGTAACTAGTGTTGCTATGTACAAGACATTAATACTGGCGCGCAAAAGTATTTATAGTTGTATTGAATCACCAAGTAAAGAAGTTAAAAAAACCTCCACTAAAAATACAAAAAACCCTCCCCTCTCTAACTCCTCCGTTCCTCGAACATTTTGACCCTCGTATGAGAAAAGCACAAAAATGACATGACGGTGATATTTTACACAAATTACAAGAACATAATCCAAATGATACATGCAATCAATTTATTTACAATGAGACCCTAACAAAGGTTGAAGATCAAGTGATAACTATTTTTCAACTCAATCTATTTTTTAATCTCTTCATCTATCATACATTCCATGGCTTCCCATGGAATGTAAATGACAGTTTAATTTTGTTGAGTTTGGTTTTTTTTCCCTAAGAAATCCCGAAATTTTCGTGTTTTGGGCAGGCTTGTAATAATTTATTTTACTTAAGATGCAGATACAGATGTACAGTAACTAACGATGCGAGTAAGCGTAAAAGGCGCGCGAATTCCGATTCTGTAATCTGCTAGCCAAGATTTACCATAAAACTTGGCAGGCGGGTTATGGCTGCGACTAAAGCAAACTCTCTGATAAAGAAAAAGAGAAGAAGACTATTTTACTTTGTTGGAGTGTTGGTCAAGGATATTACCTGCTGCAAGTCCCGAGCATATCTGAGCGAAGTGGCGAGCGCGTCGACGGCTTGCGCCGCGCGGGGCGCCGGCAGGCCCAGCGCGAGCAGCGCCCGCGCCTCCAGCTCCGTCCACACCAGGCGCGGGTTGTAGTTCACCACCATTAGCCGATTCTGCGCCGAAAACTCTACTACTGGCTTGTCCACCGACAGCTGAAGCGAACCTGACTTCACTTGCGCCTGCCAGTTTGGAATGTAATGAGGTTTAACATTTTTATTTTACCAAAAGTGCACTCACTTACTGAGAAACATTAAAGTTTAGCATTGAGTAGATATAACATATATATAGAGATAAATTAAAATTTAACATATAAAATCGTGCCGAAAATATTAAAAATATCAAAACAAAAACAGTGGCTAACTTTAAGAGTATTTCGCAGACGCTTAAGGCCGATCTACACTTTGACAAGTACAGTAGCGACTTAACTTGCGAACCTGGCGAGTAAAGTAAAAAACCTCGTTTGAATGGTAATCAGAGATAAGTAACAAATTAACAATTAAATTGAACGGAATAGCCGGCCAGGCTATTTTTCGGCGAGTTAAGTTCGAAGTGATGCTCTCCCGCGCGTCTCCCGCCAACCGCAACTAAACTCGCAGCTACAATAAGGGTGACACAGTCCACCTGATGGTAAATTACTGCTTTAGGCTACACTCACCATGCGAAACACAGCAGCATTAAGCTGCTACTTTACGTTGGTATTGTGTGAGAACATGATCCTTCCCCGGTCGAGTCGAACTATTCGTGCTACAACTATAATATAGCTGCAGCATTATAAAGATCTAAGCGGGCGCAAAGCTCCATAGCAATTCCAAAACATTGCGTTGTATATGTATCACATCTATCACGGGGAGTGCTCTGAGGAATTGTTCGGACTAATTCCAGCCGCTCAATTTCACCATCGCACATCGCGACAAAACTCGCGATACCATCCATACCATCTGGATGATTGGCGGTTCACCACTGTGCGATTTAGAAGAAGTTTTCTCTCTCGCACAACTTCCTTGTGGAATCAAGTACCACCAGCGATTTTTCCGGACCGATACGACTTAGGGATCTTCAAGAAAAGAGCCTACTCATTTTTAAAAGGCCGGCAACGCATCTACAATTCCCCTGGTGTTGCAGTTGTTCATGGGCGACGGTAGTCACTTACCATCAGGTGAACCGCATGCTCGTTTGTCCGCTCTCCTATAAAAAAAAGAACTACCTAATAATATTCCCTGACAGGTGGGCTAACAGAAGTAGTGTTAATCTTCCGGCAAGACCTGTTTATTATTATTCAAATTATATTTCCAATACTGACACCTTTTATAAGACATAAATCTATATATTAATACGTGAAGAGAAAACTTTGTACCACTTTTTAAACATGTTACGCGCAACGTTTACATACGTATTTAAAGTTTATATGGAGAAGGAATACAAAAAACTAAAGTTTAAATAAAACATTCACTGTTTACGTCCATGCAACCAATGTTACACACATAATAGTCTGTAGTCTAACAGTCGTACAGAGAAGAGATTATCGCCCTTAAAGTAAAAACATACATGTTTGTTGCCAAAGAATTTCGACAAAATTACTGAGTGGGCTGTGAATTTTGTATGATTTCAAATGTTCTTTTTTTCATAGTCTGTGGAGTTTATGTCATGGCAAAAAGCATTTATTTTATATTTTGTACATGTATATTAAATACCTTCGTTTTATATATTGATGCGCAGTTGGAAATTAAATACAAAAAACCAATAGTGCATATATATTACAGTACCTGTATATCTCTCGACCATTCTTCATGTAACTGTGTATATGAGTTTTTAAGATCTTTTAAAACTTGACCAGCTAGTTTAGACACTTCAACACTGCCTTGAAATTCTTTGAGATAATCTTCGCTACACATCTGAATATCTTTGACCTGCAAAACATTCAAAAGATGAAAAGATAAATATAGGAAAAAGAAATGGACTCCTGAGCTACTAAGAATACTTACTAATGCAATTTTAAAAATAATATAAAATAGCCCTTTATTTCCAAAATATTTTTTTTTACAAATTAACGTTATTCAATTAGTATTATCATTAATATTATTATCAGTAATATAACATTTTATGACATTTAAATATGCAACTTATCCATTAACAAATATTAAAAATTAATCAGAACCGGCGCGTTGCTGACGCAGAAGAAATAATTGTGGAAATATCCTACACACACATACTGTACATTTTTGGTCTTCCTTTCATTCCTAACTCTTTATTCTTCATTATTTCTTTAAGCGACCAATACCTTTTCCACCCATTCACTACACTATCCTTTTAGTAATTTATTTGGATTTGAGGTCTTTCTGTGATATGTTTTAGCTTAAGGTGAAACATACGGTCTGTTCTCGGCCATATTCCCGCAAGATGACGCTGAAGTCATCATTTTTTAGTTTATTTGGGTTTTTGTGTAATTGGAACATTATTAAGTCGTAGAAGTAGCAATCGCGGTACTCGGATATTATACTTTATTTTACTAGGTCATATCATTGCCTCAAAATCCACACAATTCAACACAAAGTCCGAAAATAACATCTTTCATTGAATATAGTGCCGTTTACACACACAGACGTAGGTGAATTCTTAGTCCCTACATTTACGAAAATTGAACACCAGATGGCGTGAATGAAAATAAATGCTTTCCTTTTTTCTGTATGGGTAGGCAGAATTACAGAACGCCACCTGCTACGATATATATTATTTACGATTCATCATCTGCCTAGCCTTTTTCCCAACTATATTGGAGTCGGCTCCCAGTCAAACTGAATACCAGTATTTTACGATTATGTTATAAAAATAAAAGTTTTATTTGTAAAATGAGCCGTAGCTCAGATGGTTAGCACTCGCTGTAAGTTTCACAGTACGCGAGAAACCCGGGTTCTATCCCCTCCCGTACCAATGAAATTGTTAATTGCAATTTTAAGTGTTGATTTACCACGTGCTCAGCAGTGAATGAAAACATCGTTAGAAATCCTGCATGTCTGACCAATAACAAAAAAAATATATTTCGAAGACATGTGAAGTTCGCCAACACGTATTGGGGCAGCGCGGCGGACCTTTCCTTACCCTAAAACCCTCTCAGAAATGAGAGGAGGCCTGTGCCCAGCAGTGGAACGTGTATATAGGCTGTAGCTCTAACTTTTTTAACTTATATTTGTAGGCGTAAATAAACTATTTAATTCAATAATAATCTTGGAAAATAAATTATGTCAACACTAAGAACAATAAAACGCAGTTTGAAATTAATGATCAAAACAAGTATTTGAAGTAACAAGCCTGGTACATGCCTATTCACTCAAAACTAATAACACAGATGATTTGCAACATACCAATTATTAATTAATTAATTAATTAGTATTAATTAATAAGAAAATTTGACATCACATAATATGTAAGAAACTATTCATAAACAAGAGAAAACAACAAATCTACAACACGATTTAGTTTTACAATGCGATAATTACTAGGAAGGTGAAAAATATTTCCTAATTTCAAAGCACACACAACTACAAAAGCTTTTAGTAAAACAAAAACGACTTATTGATTATTTTTTTTATTAGATTAGTTTTAGGGCAAGAAAAAAACATATCCGCCGTGGAACAATTAACAAATTCATCGGTGCCGGTAGGGCTCGAACTCGGGTTGCTCGCGTAGTGTGAAGTTTGCAGTGAGCGCTAACCATCTGAGCTACGTAAAATACCCATCATCAATGGAAATAACAAAAACATCACGCGGTGTTCCCAGGCGGTCACCCATCCAAGTACTAACCGCGCCCGACGTTGCTTAACTTCGGTGATCGGACGAGAACCGGTGTATTCAACGTGGTATGGACGTTGGCGACAGAGCCTCTTTATTGTGCAGAGATATTCTAATCGCCTTCTACGATACATATGTACATACGTACTCTTACGCTCGCACGTAAAACGCATTCTGACAACCAAATTTTTAACAATACCATACACAAGTATTTGATGATCCACCATCGTATACATGTTTACCAATTTTTAAATAATATATTTATTTCTATTCAATTTTTATAGTTTAATATTTATAATTATTTTATTGATAAACATTTTATTAATAAATAAATAATTATTAATCTAACAACCATAATAAAACAAAATTAATAATAAATACATAACCCAAAGATGTTTTATAGGTCCAGATACCGTGTACGCGCGCCTAAAACGCTTCCATTTCAAAGGCGCCAATATTGGCGTATTCGTTCGATCGTTCCGTCATTACGCCAGCAACGTTCGCTGTGAACATACGTCACGCACTGGTGTTTTTAATTTCGCAAAATAACTGTTTGTGCTGTGAAATCATTTAAAAATTACTCTTGGAAAAAAGATAAGGATAAGAACATCGCTTTTCATAAGTAACTATACAATTTTATGGTGTATTTCTTTGTAAAAGAATACGAAAGCTAAATGTCAATACAAGTAATAATACTGCGCAATAATATTCGAGTGTTGCCTAGTCTATGAAATTGTTTTTACCATTTTTTAATGTCATGATCAACCACAAAGGTTATCTGTATAGGGGTTTTAAACAGTCTAATTTTACAGATTTTACCCAACCTATAGAGTTAAACCGTTTTAAGGGTTAGGGTTGAACTACATCTGGCAGCATGAAATTGCACTTACCTGTGCTTCTATCCTTTTTGGTCACTCAGAACCGTTATAGTAGTAACCGGTATAGTTCCACCCTCAAAAAGCCGATTGTAAACCGGTTTTAAAAGTTTATCTATCATTCTTGACAATTCATACTAATATAATATTATAAATGTGAAAGTGTGATTTTTTTGTTTATTTGTTTTTGTCCTTCCTTCACGCAGCAACGGAACGGAGCAATTTAAAAAAATTAAACATTTTGCTATCTCTTGGCTGAAGTTCACGCTTAACCAAACTTACTTTTTTTCGTCATTTTACTTAGGATTGAAAAATAATTTAATGTCTTCGTAAAAAGCGGCAATATTTTGTGTTCTGCAGTACAACAGTGTAGTACTCTGTATATATTTAGTAATAATAGATTATAAATATATGTCACATACATAAATATCTACTGTGCTTTTTTATTTATTTTAACTGTTACATTAATTATAGGTTTTATTACATATCTTCAATATTTTAGTGCGATGTGCATAAAACACACATAAGCAACCATATCCCCATACACACACACACACACAAATGCACACGCCACGCACACACATTTTGTACTCTTAGAATCAATAGGTACGTCAATAGGAATGAAATATAAAATCTCCCACATTTTTTGCGTAATCGATTCGCACTGTTATTACCGAAGTCACGCACATTAATGCAGCCATGGTACGTAAGATATGCGCGTCACGTGGTACTCACGCACACATGAATCAAAGACTGTCTTCACTATGAACGTTGCGGTGTGTTAACAACACGGTATCTGGACCTATAAAACATCTTTGACATAACCATTATTTTCATCTGTTATCCAAGGACAAATCAACTAAAAAAATCCAGGACCGTAACAAACGATACGACGCGACCTTGAGCTTGATACTACAACAAAATAAAACAAACTAATAATAATATGTGCCTGTCTGAAACTGTTTGTAAAATAAGTAATAGGTATTTTTACAGAACCCCGCAAAACTATATTTTGCAAATGTTTGTAACATTATTTTGTGACACCATTTGGTGGCTTACCGATTTATATTTTTATTTATTGTTGAAAAAAATATTCAAACAAAACACTGACTTTTTAGTTTTGTACTCCACACCGACACGTATGACATAGGTAATTAGTATTGTAACGAGATTTGAAATCACGGGCCAACATGCTTTTCTAATACCACCGAAAACAAAATTGCGTATTTTGAATAATTAATTACTATACCTACAATAAATTACAATATATTGTATTATATTGGAATCAAATACATACTAGAAATATTGCAAATTGAATCAATGAAAATCATACAAAAATAAAAAATAAATCGCAAGAAATTCCGCGCGCAACTGCTATCCCTTTACAATCGAGAATTACTTTAGAATGTTTAAATTACAGTCAAACGAGACCGAAGTTTGGCATCCCTTTTTTCTTTCAACGTAGTACATCTAGTTCAAGGTTAGGAAGTACGGCATCGTTGCATAATATATACCTACGAATAATGGTATTTGTTGCACAACAATATCGTATGCACGCCATCTAGCGTGCCAATGTTTAAACTATGTTTTTGGCGCTTTTGCTTGTCAAGTTGTCAAAATTCACTCACACTACTAAAGAAGTGTCAAAATTTTCCTAGATTTCACTATTGGTTTTCTTAATAAATACTGTAATTTATTTCCTAATAAAGTCAATCGCGGGCACATTTCAGTGTAGAAAAGTGATAAAATTATTAGTTTTAAACAAATAGTGTCTGTGTTTAACGTATATGTCAAAACAAAAATGTATGGGCAGGCTAGCGGAACATCCCCCTTAAGTAAATGTATTCTCCCACGTATTCTAGTACTTCACAGTCAATAACTAACATATTATATTAAAAATAGCAGAGGCCTTAATATTGATCCTTGCAGTATTTATGATTGATTGATCCTTGCCATATTTTATGAATCGAGGGCTACTGCAATAATCTCATATTTTGACATACTGAAATTATTTATTTAAATACTTACACACTTACGTAAATAAATAGTCTTTTTAAAATTGTAATTCGAAAGAAAAACTAATGAAATACTAACTTTGGCCTCCATCTGCTTAGACCACTGTATCTGTTGCACAAGGGGCGACATTTCGGGCGGCTGGTACATCTTCAAGTCAACATCGTCCGAGTCCAACTGCATCTGAATGCTCTTCAACATCTCCAGTAATGATGACACAAAGATTTCCAGTTCGTTGTTTAAAGCCTGTTTTACTATTGGCCTGTTTATGAGGGACTTGTAGCGTATGAACTCGTACAGCATCTAAAATTTCATTTCTTTTGTAATAGCTTTTATATTTTTATTTAACAGTTTATGTACACACATACTTCGATAGGAAAATGGTAAACACTCATAATTATGTACAAAGGCACTGCTTATTCCATTATGAAATTTCTTCCAGCAGGCCTATTGAAGTCAAAATGTGCACTTACATAAAATATACATATACAATATATACAATATATATATATATATATATATATATATATATATATATATATATATATATATATATATATATATACATATATATATACACATATATATATATACGATTTAATAATTATGGCGTGAATGATAGTGCTCTTTAACAAGTCTTTTACACATAGACACCGATTTAGCCTCACGAATCCTAAAGGGAAGTAAATTCCACAGTTGTGGAATTTACTTCCCTTTAGGATAGTGGTAGAGCCATGCTGCAGCTATATTAGTAGTATAGTTGTAGTACGAATGGGTCGGCTCGCCCGGGGAAGGACCACGCCCTCACAGAAAACCAGCGTAAAATAGCAGCTTAACGCTGCTGTGTTTCGTATGGTGAGTGTAGAGAACCGGAGACCCTTTTTACTGGCAAAGAGGCATTCCATCTTAGTCCTTACGGGTGACAACGCATCTGCATCTTGAGTCTTTATTGAGGATAGATGTAGATGTCTATGGGTCACAGTAACCACTTACCATCAGGTGGACTGTGTGCTCGTTTGTCACACGATCCCATAAAAAAAAATTGTAAAAGAATGGGAATAGAGCATTGTAATCAAAGACGGAAATCTTAACAATGTTCTAGTATTTGATCTAAATGGTATATCTGGAGAATGAACAAAAATGAAATGATTTTAGATATAGCGGAATAGTAGGATTATGTAGAATATTGAAAAGAAGACAGAGGATTCAAATGTTCCTACGAAGGCGGATTGGGAGCGATTTCAGGTGATTGCGATAAACAGAAACGTGATCGAACTTCTTTAAGCCAAAAATGTATCGAATACATAAATAACAAGGGCAGAAAATAGTTGACAAAAATTATTGCGTCTAGAAATAACTTATATATAAAATAAGTTTTATTATTCTTTTATGATTTTTTAAATAAAAATGTATTTTCATTAAAGCCACAGAAAAAATAACATTTTTGGTAATATCAAATGACTTAAATGATTTTACTCTATTCAAGTGTTACCATTTAATATATTCATACTATTTTCGTATACACTTTGTAGGACTACCAACACAACGCACAAGCACAAAATATTTTTATATAAAGTTATTGTTAGTAATAAATGTATTATCAGTAATAATAAAAATAAAAGTGATATGGTTGAAAATAAGTCTCTTACAAATGACTTTCTACAATAATACATTATCTCAATCATAGTACTGTGTAACAATTCCGTTTAATGTTATGGCAACACTAGCTAAAACAAAATGTCACTGTTTTTTACCGGCTTTACGGCTCTGGGTTCTAGCCCTTCTGAGAATGTCACTGTATGAGTATGATACAAAGGCTCCAGGGCCATGCCAGAAATATACCTTTATAGTATGCAAATATATAATAGAGAAACAATAATCTAAAAACTCTCAATTATGTAGGTAGGTACATTATGTTGAGAATGTATCAAGCTAAAATCAAACAACCACAGGACGCATGACTTTTTCCAAGTGACATAAGATATAAGCTAAAAAGGTTCAAATCTAAATATCTTTTTTTACGCCTTCTCAGGACAAAATTCTTTGACAAAGTTATTCAGGGACTGACGCTTAGCATTATAAGATATTTTTGATATATAAACGCCACAATTCCTTCAACTAATTTTATGTATCAAAGACTGCCATTGTTCTTTGCAAGCACTCAAGGGGCAGTGGCTTAGCAATGAGCTGCTGCGCTAAGGACCGCGAGTTCGAATCCCGCACGGAACAGGAATTTGTATGGCCTACAAGTAATTGTCCCGGGCCTGGATCTTTGTCCTCGTGAAATTTATGTATGTAAACTACCCTCACGATAGAGGAGAAAATCCTAGTGTGGTGGTAACGTTTTTTTTTTTAAATTTGCTCCTCGGTAGCATCCAAATAACAGACATCAGCGTAATCTAAAATTGGCAAGAGTCTTGACTATAGATATCTTAGTAGACAAGGGTTGACGACGTTTTAGAGAATGAAAGGTGTGAAATATTTTCCTACCTACATCCTTAATATGTAAGCCCCAAGTCAAATAACACCTAGGTTCTTGGCTGAGTCGATATCTGAGTAGGGAATAGTGGTGAGTAGCTTCGTTGATGGTTTATCTATATCTTATTAAAACGTTACTTACGATACGTTACACTAGAATTTTCTTCTCTATCGAGGAGGCTTTTTACATATATAAATTGCACACGCTCAAATATGCGGACCCGGAACAAATATGTGTGTTTAAGCCCGAACGCTGGTTTCGGAATCGACGTCAGAGGGTAGACGTCGGTAGCAGTTTGTTACGGCCTACAGCTGCCTAAATAAGAGTAGAATCTTCCGGGCCCATAGCGGAAGACCTTACAAGCATCTGCTTGTAAGGTCTTCTTTGTTTTTATAGGTCGGGCCTCCTAAGGCCAAAGAGGAAAATCTCTAATTACACTAAACAATAAGGGGGAGCGTTCTATACTACTGTCATTCAACAGGGAGAATATTAAACGAAGCTTACTTACCTATATCCAAGGCGACTGGTCCCTCCGGATTCGGTCAGGTCGCATGTGGTTGTGTAGTGCAAGGGAAATAAGGTGCTGTGATGTGTATCTGGGTGTGACTGGTGGTGATTGACGTTATTAGACCTTTGCCGTCGGCAGCAGCCCGGACGTCAGCACCGCTCCAAATTGAGGTAATCTTCCGCGGCGCCGTCCACAGTCACTTTCTTCGTTCGTCACGATGACAGTCCATTAACTCTATCGTACGATTAACTAACTTACAGAAGCCACTAACTCTCGTTTGTTATAAGGTTAACGCACAAAAAACATGGAGTATCCGGATCAAAGGTCACTACCGTTTCGCGTAGCAACAGTTATTTCTAGAATATCAAAGGCCGCACTAGCTAATATTGTCGAATGCACTTATACAGATTCTGAGTCGGACCCAATAAGTCCCGGGAAAGGCTATCCAACAAGGAATGCGCGTTATAAATCCTAGACAGGATATTTACTAGACGCCTAAACTATTCCGCGGTTCCCGCACAAAAATTAACAGCGTGCTGACGTTAGCACAGCTGGCAGACGACTCGCTTTCGCCTTTACGCGTTCTCAACACCCACCGCTCGACCGACGTCAAAACCGGTATGGCACCGAGCCGCGCGCCCTCTGACATCGATTCCGAAACCAGCGTTCGGGATAAACAATGTGTAAGCTATACAAACATTTTTCTGTAACGGGTTTACTACAATTTCAAAATATCTTGCGGTTTCATAATGGGCAATCAAAGAGCCGCTCACTCATTCTTAATAATATGATATGTGCAGCAACTAGCGTTGCAACTAAATACTAGTTTCAAATGTCCCCTACGTCTGTATGTATATTATCTATAGAAAACATAGCAACTTTTCTCTAAAAGTCAACTTCACCTGCACGCAGTGCTTACTGCTGATGCTTACGGACAAAGCTTTGGCGACCTTCAGTTATGGCGTGGTAACCATCCAAAAACCCTAAAAAAAATTCACCAACAGATGCGCAGTATAAAAGCGGCTGCAATTTGTTCCGTATTCACCAAGTCAATAGCCCATGTTTGTCATATGCCAACTGGTGCGTTTATCTAAAGGCCTATATCCAGCGGTACATTTAAAAAGGCTGCTGATGATGTATAAGGGAAAATTTAGTAAAAGTTAAAAGTTCTTCTGTGCATTTTTATGTGCCAAGGTACATTCCTCAGAGTGGGGTATTGATACACTGTAATCAATAAAGTCTGTTTTATTTGTTTACATAGACTTACTAAAATAACTTAGACACATCTTCTGCTACAATAGGTAATGGTCGTACTCCAAGCTTATACTGTTACAAGATCTTCATAGAAATAAATTTTCGAAAACCATATATAACATAATTATTGTAAGTAAATAATGGCCGTACTGATTTACTTAGAATAATTGTTACTGTGGTCAACAGATGTTTTTTGTTCTTCAAATTTGATATCTTTTTATATGTCATTTTTAAATGCGCGGGGAGCGTATTAAAAAAAAATAACACAGGTCCAGCCTTAACGGCAGCCGACTGGACAGCCTCTTCCATAGTAGGGAGGACTTACCGTAATCAGCTCTCGTAAGTTGACTTATGCGTTGACGTATAACTATATTACGAGTACTGTTAGAAGCATAATTACTTCATCTATGTCATCGGCCCGAGAAAGTCCACGCTGGACATGGGCCTCTCACATTGTAGGGAGAATTTTGCCTTAATCATTTCGATCGACAGCCGGATTGGCGGTCTCTCAGCTTTAACACTACTTCCCATCATCATCGTAATTTTATGTCTTGGCATAAAAAGGCAAGATAGTTAAGCCGTCATCTACGAGAGGCTATAGGATCTTGTGGGATTCCCCTTAGTCGACCTTTAAGATTCCTTCTCTGTTTCATTGCCACCACATGGAAAATGTATTTATCGATAAGTAATCTATAGACAGCACTTAAGTCAATATTTAGCACAGCGCGCCTGGTTCAATATGTTACAAGGATTATTAGTCTTAACATAATTATATTATATTATATTAATTACTTGTTTAGTGGACGTGTTGTGAAGCCTGGGTCTCAACTTCTCTGCTATTTTTGCTTCTGAAGGTCGAAGATTGGTAAAAAATTTGATCACTGAATTATCCCATGCGGTGTTTTGACCATTACACACCCAAACGTTTACGTCTAAAACAATTCATTTAACAATAAAGTAATAAATAAAGGGTAAATGGAGCTTTTAGATCTGCCCTATCATCTCTTGATCTATCGCTATTAAATAGATGCAAACGTCAATTAGTATAATGTAAATACCATTTTATTAGTATTTTACAGATTAGCTAACATATTATACAAACATAGCTTACCAGCGAATGCCTCAAACAAATGATCAGTTTTCAATTCAGATCTCTCACTTTTCGACAACAATTTGTTCAACTGATTATGAATCGATCTTAAATCATGGATCTGAAAATATATAACGCTATTTTTAAAAATTGATTAAATTCTTATAATGAGTCATTAATATCTTTTAATTTGAAAAGATTAAAAATGGGAACGAAAACTGCTAGTATGTAAGTAACGAGTATTTTGTAATCTACTTCAATCTCATCGGAATTCACACGCGAAATAGAAATCGTATTTTTCTATTTTTAAAATCTGAAAAACTAGTATTCTGAAAATCAGACCGAAATCTATAACGTCCTACTTTTGAAAATTATTAATTTTCGAAGCGGGACGTTAAAAATTGCATTGTGTAGGCCTACGCGCTCTCACAGAATACTATCATGAAATAGCAGTATGCAGATAATCAGAAACTCTTTTTGCTGGTAACTTGGTATTCGATCTTAGTCCTCAGGAATGACAATATTTTTTTCTTTTTTTTTAAACGTTACCCCCACACTAGGATTTTCTCCTGTATCGTGGAGGCAGTTTACAAACATACATTGCACGAGGTTTGTCCAAACATCCAGACCCGGAACAATTATTCGTAGGCCATACAAATACTTGTTCCGTGCGGGATTCGAAGCCACTGCGCCACGGAGCCGTCAAAATAATAACTGCATTGTGATTCATAATCGCAGAAGGTGTAAGAGCCTGTGGGCCAAAGTATCCATTTACCATCAAGTGTCCAGTGTGCTCGTTTATCGTCGTTACTTCCATAAACAAAAGTTATATTTTCTTATGAGAAGAATGTGTCAATTCCTTTTTCTTCTTCATCGACCCTTAATGGTCCACTGCTAAACATGGGCTCCTTCATGTGGGAGAATTACACACCACGCTTGGGAGCAGGATTAGTGATTGCAGTAGTAGTGACAGTACCAGCGTTCTCGTACTTTCGACGCTGCTCCTCGTCGCCAATCTGGATTTTTACGTCTGGTATATTATACGAGATACCGCGATCTATTTATATAATATGTACGATATATTGTAAATTATCGTTATTTTTAAAGTCCGGCTGGATTTCTCGCCAGTTCTTTCCAGGACAGAAGATTTTTTCCGAACCAGTGGTAAAATGAAAAAAAAAATTCGATAAGTATTATATAATGGGAAAATTTATAATTATTATTATTTACTACATATTACCTCTTTAACCCGTGTCTGAAAATTAAGACAAAACTGCGGCACGTAGCCTTTACCGCTCCAAGGATGCAGAGCGTAATTCGGCCAATAGTTCTCGGTGAGAGACACGCAGGCGCTGATCCAAGTTTGCATTACATTAAGACTATCATTAGTTAAAGTCAAAATTTCGTTATCTTTAATGCTGTTATACACTTTCCATAGATCCATGCTACACAATGCTTTCTGAGTTATGGAGCAAATTACATGTCCTGAAATCATACAATAGAATAACATTTAAGATAAACCTGTATTTAAGATAATAGTTCAAAAATAATTTATACTTAGGTAAAACATAAATATTATAGATTAACGTAACGACTTAATTGGTTTGTTAGACGTTATTGGTCCCATCATCAATTTCCATGAGATTTAAATCTCCTAAATGTTAATAAATTAAATCAAAATAATAAAATTAGGTATGACCAGTCCGCGTACCTATTATGTCGAAAATGTGTAACATTCTGTCTTGGGAGTATGGCAACACAGTATACCGCCAAATATCATCCAGCAAACCACCGATGTTCTCTGCATTATCTCTAAACTCGTAAACAGGGTTTGCTTGCATTGACCTTAAAAGTTAATACAATATCTTAAATTCAGACATTTTAGGTGCCTTAAAATCGAGTTAACTAGTGATCAAACTCCAACAAAATGAGTCTCTACCAAAAGGACTGCAATATTAATTATGATTAAGCAGGATGCTCAGAAGCTGATAGATCAGTCTTTCTCAAAGTGGACGATAACGCCCCCTTGTGGGCGTTGGAAACCTAGAGGGTGGCGTTAAGGGGCCCAGAAAAAAAGGGGGGGCGCTGGCGTGGTTTAAGAGGGCGATGGCTGATTTGATATTTCATTTAGATACTTTATATTTTAAAATTTACTTAAATTAAGACCTACCTACTACTCAACATCGAATAATTAATTTATATTTCTGCCCTGTATGGATGATATATAAACTAAAATTCTTAACATAGATTTCGTATGATAGATAGCCCGATATAAAAGATCGTAATAATTTTTATATTTTCATTAGTGGTTTCGCGCGCAATCTTTAAACAAATATTTAAGTATTCAACACTTTATTTACGAGTACATATTTGTAAAAACAAAGCCATGTCGGAAGCAAAAAAGAAGAGACGGCAATATAGTGCAGAATATATTAAATATGGACTCATAGAAAATTCGGTAAATCCATCATTGCCTTTGTGCCTTCTTTGTTCAAAAACATTTTCAAACGAAGCGATGCCTGCAAGACTTCAAGATCATTTGAATAAAATGCATCCAGATAAAAAGGACAAACATTTTCAAGAACTGGAAAAGAAGCATAATGTTCCAAGTGTATCAAAACTTTTTTCGGTGGCTCCTAAGCAAGACGATGACGGACTTCGAGCTTCATACAATATCCCTTTAAACCACACACCATTAGAGAAACGTTAATAATGCTGGCAATAAAAGAAGTTATAACTACTGTGCTCCATAAACCGGCGGCAGACATAATTCGAAAAATTCCTTTGAGCTATAGTAGTTCTGTGCAAAGACGAATTGATTAAATGGCTGAAAACATTGAAGAATCATTGTGCGATTTCCTGAAGACTAGTCAATTTTCAATTCAGTTGGATGAGTCCACTTTACCAACTAATGAAGCATTGTTGCTGTCTTACGTGAGGTTTATTAAAGATGAAAAAATATATCAAGAACTAATTTTTGCTAGAAATTTAGTGACAGACACAAAAGGAGAAACCATATTTAAAACATTGGAAAAGTTTTGTGATGAAAAAGGAATTCCCTTGAAGAATATTATATCAGCTACTACAGATGGTGCTCCAGATGTGACGGGGTGTCAAAAAGGCTTCATAGCGTACTTAAAAAACAAAATTCCAGATGTGCTTGCTGTAATTGCGTTATACGTCGACAACATTTGGTTGCTAGAAATTTAAGTGAACGACTGTTTCAATCATTGCAACATGTCATCAGAGCAATCAATAAAATCCGAAACAACTCTTTAAATGACAGATTATTTAATCAGATTTGTGTTACTAATGATGAAGATTTCAACCGATTGATCTATACACAGAAGTGCGTTGGCTATCAGAAGGAAATTGTCTGACTCGATTTTACAATCTGTTTGACTCTGTCGTAGAGTTCTTGGAAAACAAAGACACAAAATTGCGCGACAACCTCATCACATCAAAGAATGATATCGCGTACCTGACAGACATTTATAAATTGCTTAATGATATGAATCTACAACTTCAAGGCGATGGCTTCAACTTAATAAAAACAAAAAATATCGTCGCTGCTTTCGTAGCCGGGCTGCTCTTACACAAGAAGAATATCGGCAGACGTGAGTTCCATAATTTTCCCAATTTATCAGTATCATGCAACAACGACGACTTGCTTGTCTACTGCCAACATTTGGAAAATCTCCACAGAGATTTCATTGAAAGGTTCCAGGACATTTTGAAATTGGAAATACCAGACTGGGTGTTAGATCCTTTTTCAAATGTCAACAAATAGCAGTATCACCCCAACTGGAAGAAAAACTTATAGAACTTACTACGAACGAGGAAATAAAAATCAAATTCAAAAATGGCTACCAAGAATTTTGGCTACATACAAAAGTCAATCCCGAAGTAATACCCTGAATTGTGGTCGATCGTTCAACGATTTTTGATACCATTCCCATCGTCATATTTGTGTGAACGTGGATTTAGCGCTGTGACAACGCTGCTTACTAAAAAAAGAAATCGTTTGCATGTTACCGATCGCGGCGACTTACGACTATTTTTGAGTAAAATCGAACCTGATATCAAGAACCAACAAACTTGTTAAAAATCATCAAATTTATCCATCTCATTAAATTAGTTTTAAAACTAAAATTGATTACTTATCTATATTGTTTCTTTTAATTTGATTAAAATATACGATTAAGATTTTCAAAGGGGGTGGTAAAAGAAATAAGTTTGATAACCTCTGAATATACAAAACATATTATGCGTAGGCTACGCATAGGACAGGGCACGCAGAAAGTTTCGCGAGAAAAGGGCTTTATATATAAGACACTGGCCGGTTATTTACTATAGTGTTATATTTAATTTAGAAAATACGATTACTTTCTAGAAAAAATGGTCTAATTTCAAATTTCCCTCTACATTTTAATAAGCTAAATTGAATCGTGTTTTTTTATCATTGTTCTTTTAAAATGGATCTGCGTCAGGAACCTTTTCGCGTGATGATTTTTACGTTTTCTAATGTCGCCTAAAACCGGAAGAATTATTTGATAGACTTCAAATAACATTTAAGCACAAAATCCCTTCTAAGGCAACCGTATACAGCTGGTATAATAAATTTCAGTACGGTCAATTGACTTTGGGATATGAAGAAGAATTGGACACACTAAGAACAACATTCACAACACAAACTTTAATTGAAAATTATAGGCGAATTACGTATACAGAGATTCAGTATATATTGCAAATTGGATCGGGAACGTTCACGAAATTTCACACGAACACCTTCGCATGAGGAGGATAGTTTCGTTTTGGATGCTACACAATCTCACCGATGCTAAGAAGGAAGCCTACGTGTAGTGGTGCCGTGATATGATTACGAGATTTGAATCAGGGTTCGTATTTACGACATTATTACATGTGATGAATACACTTGATTTTTATTTTCTAATAACTACTCACAAAAACACAACGTAAAAATAGTTCGTATTTTCGTGAGGTATTTTATGTTTTACTGTAAAACAAAAAAAATAAAACAGTTAACAACATATAAATCATAATCAAAAAGTGTCTATATGTTAAATGACTATTAATTTCTATCTTTCACACGACTCTTTCTATACATGTATTCAAGATAATTTGGTACATCAAGCAATGTTAAAATCACTGAAGCTTAGAGCAATTTTTTGTTGATATTTTTGAGTATAAAGTATAAAGCTCGTTTTCTATAAATATTAAAAAAAACGACTCAAAACAATTTTATCATTTCACGACTTTTCGAATGACAATTAACTCTTGGGTGATATAGAAAGAGCATGCTATGAATTACGTACCTGATTTCCTCAAAAACATCTTCAAACAGTACACAAAAATTCGACGCAGCCTCTCTCTCTTTTTTCGATGCATCTGTTTTTTCTGCCATTGATTTCCAATAATTAATTTCATCTTCAATCGATAAAATTACTGCAAACAATTTTATTTTTATTGTAAAACGGGTCACGATAAAGCACAGTAATTTCATTTTATTTAATTACCATTTATATTCCCATTATTTTTACCATGTGTCAATACTCTCAGATTCGTTTCCAGATCTAAAAGATTCTTTTGTAACTTGTTTGTATACAAATCATCACCCTGAAATCAAAAGCGTTGCACCTTAGACACGATCGGATGGAGATCAGAGGCAAGACCCAACGGGTTTACGTGCTTTCCGAAGCGCAGGGGTGAAGCACCGCCAACTTCCAGGCTCCGAGCTGCTACTGACAATTTCTTGACAGAGAAACCCAATAAGTAACTGACGTTGACCTAACCTGGGATTCTAACCCGGTATTTCATGACCGACAAAGCAGACATATTTGACTGAGATATTTAGTAGTCAATTTTGAGGTGTTTCTTTAATTTAAACTTTACTCATTATAGCATCATTAAATATTTATTAACTAAATCTGAATTTGAAAACACAAATATATTATTATAATATATACAAGATAAAAAAACGATAGTAGACTTACATATTCAAACATTTTTAAAAACACCTAGAACTCATGCCCTTTCTATTGGTGTATTGTAGGTTTTGTAACCTGCCTATTTCTCAATTACTAGAAATTTTAACGATAACTAGAAATTCTAAGACATTAGCTTAGAGATAGGGTAAACTGCCCAAAAATGTGCCCCACGAGGTGCCCTGTCCCTCAAGGCTTTGCATCGACCTTCCGTACATTCTGTATAATATATACGATTATACAAGAAACATGTTTAATTCAAGAGATAATATAATGTAATTCTAATCTACGCAATATTCTATTATGGGAAAAACGAAGAGGTTTTCTATTCGACCGTACGAGAATGTTATTTTTTCTTTTTTGTTCTGTTGGTCCCTTAAAAATTTGAAGAAAAATTACACCGCTAAGGATGGAAAATAGGGAATAAAGTTTTTAATGTAACTGTTTAGACGACATTCTAGTCGTTAACACTTAAGCTTGTATTGCATTAATCCACTCATAAGTGTAAACAATTAAATTTTTAATTAAAAATAAAACCCGACGCCAAAATAACAAAAAATAAAATTAAATACACTACAATAGTTTCTAAAGTCAGGGATTTATTTCCTTTTATAAACTAGACTAGTTAAGTAAACTAAACTATTATAAGTCCAATTTGTTTTATTCTTTTTGTTTCTTTGTAGTCGGCTTTTACATCAGAACGCAGATCAAAATTGGTATAGTTGGTTACTTAGGAGTAATAAGACTTAAAAATAAGGTAATTTAATACTATATAATATACTTATTCATTAAGTTTAAGATCAATTTCAATCAGAGTAAAACACTTGACTAATCTTGAGTCTTTTTTCATACATGCATAAATTGCACATGGTCAAACCTAACTACTTTTTACGTGGGGACAATGAACTCACGACCCAGGTGTGCCGAGCCAAACGGTTAACCAATGCGCTACCGGGTCGTCTAATAAAATGACTGAAATTATCAAAAAACCTGTCATTGTAAATGAATGATAGGAAGAGAAAATAACAATTAGGTACTCAGTCTCGCGTCTGACGTCAGGCGAGTAGCACGCGTTCACGCGCATTGTTAAGTGTTTACGTATAGATTGCTGTTCATTGTTTACTCACGCGTGTAGGTAGGGCCGCGCGGCCTGCTTCCGCGCAGGCTTACCCGTAGCACTTGCGAGTATAAACGAAAATGAAGAATTTAACAATAATATTATATATAACCAAGACGATATTACAGAATTAGAAGTGGAAGAGCGGGATAGTATTGATATAAATACGCCTAGGATTATAAAAAGAATCAGAGAAACGGAGGAGAGTGATGAGGAGTGGAGTATTGTGAAGGGAAAGGGGAAGAAAAAACGACTGCTCGAGGATAAGAACTTACGTAGAGAAACGGATATCGAGGTATATATTACATGCATTGAAAAGCTGCCCAAGCAATTTGCTTTGGCACGGTTATTCAAAGAAAACGGAATAACTGATATAATTAGAGTTAAATATTTAAATCCTTTTAAAGTAAGGTTGCAATTGCCGAACGAGGAAAGCGTTAAGAAATTAAGTACCTGTGCGACATTTATTTCTATGGGATGGAGAATTCAAAAGGCAATGGAGGTTAACTACTCTTATGGAATTATAAGAGACGTGGAGTTAAAAATGTCTGAAGAAGAAATTATGAAAAATATATCTTGCTCAGATTCTACAGAATTAATATCCGTAAAAAGGCTTAAGCGACGAAGTAACACGAAACAGGAAGGTTGGTGTCCAAGTGAAACCATACGGCTTTGTTTCAAAGGGTCTTCCCTACCTTCATACGTATATATTGTCGATATGAAAATAATTGTTCAGCCTTATGTATATCCTGTTACACAATGCTCACAATGTTGGAGGTTGGGTCACATTCGCAAGTTATGCCCATTCAAGAAAACAATCTGCCCCAAGTGTGGGGGGGACACGAGAATTGTGATACCAAAACATTCAAATGTATCAATTGCTCTGGTGCTCACATGGCTTTAGCTAGGTCTTGCCCTGCTTATCTTAAAGAAAGGAAGTCACGAGAACTAATGGCCGAGTTCAATTGCACATACAGGAGGGCTTTAACAATCTATGTTGCGCCAACACCACATAGAGATATGGACGTAAAACTTACAGGACATAATAACATCCAGCAGGAGATGTATAATTATAACACACCGAAGAGGGAAGCGGCTACAACCCAGAATGTTCCTACTTTTGCAAAAGTGACAGCCAATGTTATTATGCATAACGAAGATAATATTAGTCAATGTGAAAGTAATAATAATAATAATAATAATAATCATCTTTATTCAGGCAAATTACACCCATATCCAGTAAAATCAATAAATTTAAAATCAGTCTCCTAAATTTTAGCAATAATTAAATCAATTTCAATACAAAATAACAATTTTAAAATAATAAATCCAGTCAATGTAAATAGGCAGTAATGTCAGTATATAAATAAAATAATGAAATAAAATAACATAAAATTAAAATTAATAAATAAATAACAGAATTACACACATTTATCAGTCTGGAGACGAGATCAATAATTAAAACTTTCTCTGAGGCAACTGTGCTGCAATAAATTAAAGTAAATTAATCTACACAATTAAAGCAATACAATACATAAATCAATGTCAACAAGATAACAATTTTAAAATAATACATCCAGTCAATTTCAATAAGCATTAGTGTCAGTATATAGAATAATTTAAGCAAATAAAATAAAATTAATACATAATTAACAAACAAAAAAAAAAAAAATAAGAACACACTTTTATTAGACAGGAGACGAGATTAATCAATACTTTCTCAGAGGCAGCTGGTCTGCGACATGCCTTTCGCAACAATGCCGGATAATATAACAGTCTAACCTTCCTGAGATCATCGCTAAGACAGTGTTGGAGCTGGCCCGCACTCTGCGCACCAGGGACGCGGCCCGCTTGCGCATGGTGGCATTGAAGCAGTCGGTGCGCGCATCCGCAAACATACCAGAGGCGCTACAAAACCGAGGCAACCCCATCACCGCCCTAAACGCATTATTGTATTGGACGCGGAGGACGCTGTAACTCTTCCTACTGTAATTAGCCCATAAGCTGCACGAGTAGAGCGATGTGCAGAACGCTCGGAAGAGTGTAACCTTGACCTCCTTTGAACACCGCGCAAACCTACGGGCGATCATGTTAGCTCTGACCGACAGCGCCCTCCGTTCCCGGTCCATATCAGCGTGATCCCTTAGGTCGAAGGTGAGTAAATGCCCCAGATACTGAAACTGTTTAACCCTTTCCAGGGGTACACCATTCAATTTTATTTGAGGTATATTATCAGGACATTTCGCACCAGCGGCCTCAAAGATCATGTATTGACTCTTTCTGACATTATACAATAATCCGTGACCACATGCATATTCCTCGCATTTCCGTATCAGCTTCCTCAGGCCGCAGACCGATGCACTCAGCAGCACCATGTCGTCTGCGTAACTCAGATTATTGACACAAACACCGTCAATGTGGCAGCCGACATGGTAATGTATCTTCGTCCCGCCGATACCAAACAAAAAAGGAGAAAAGAAATACAGAGCGTGACACGTCATTACAAAGTAATAGATTTGAACCTAATACTAGCTATAGTGAGGAAAATAACAACAAATCTTCTGGTAAAATATCTTTTAGTGAGCTACTTGTGAGGTTAAAGGAAGTAATATTTTTTAATAATTTTAGTTTGCAAGAGAAAGTTTACAAAGTGATAAAATTAGGTGTTGAGTGGTTAATTTTGGTAACTGTAGACAATATCTCGGAATGGCCAATGTTGAAAACTGTTTTAAACTTATTTAATGGATAGAAACCTTAAAAGTAATACAGTAAACCTTAATATCTTACAGTGGAATGCTCAAAGTGTTAAGCCTAAACTAATGTCTTTAGAGCCTTTGTTAACTCAGGAAAAAATATATATCGTAGCCTTAAGCGAAACATGGTTAAATTCTGAAACTTATATTAAAATTAAAGATTATAATATTTACCGTAATGATAGAAATTACTCTTATGGGGGTGTTGCTGTTTTAGCACACAAATCTATTAAAACGGTTAGGGGACATTTGCAATTAAGTAATGATGGCATAGAAGCTATTTACGTAAAAAATTTTAACTGTCAGGATTTTGAAAATATTGTTTCTATTTATTGTCCATCGTCGGTGCGTAGCTGCCAAAGAGATTGGGATGAATTATTTTCGACATTTAGTTGTAAAACCTTGATCATTGGGGATTTCAACGCTCATCACTCAAGCTGGTCGTACAAGACTGATAACAGAGGTTCACAAATATTTGATGCTCTTTTAGATGCTAACTTTGCTGTATTAAATAATGGAGAAAGCACTCGAATTAGAGTTGTGAATGGAGTCTTACAAGCGTCATCCCCTGATTTATCGCTCATTACGTCTGATATCGTCTATAAATTTAATTGGAAGGCACTTCGAGAGACTTTAGTTAGTGATCATCTTATGATTAAAATATCAGCTCTATATCAAAAGCGGTTAGCGTATGATCTTAAAAGAAATTTTAAAAAAGCAAATTGGGACGTATACATGAATACTCTTGAAAAACTTTTTCAC